ATTTCTAGCTAGTAAACAGGAAGTAGACATTGCTAGCTAGTAAACAGGAAGTAGACATTGCTAGCTAATAAACAGGATGTAGACATTGCTAGCTAATAAACAGGAAGTAGACATTTCTAGCTAGTAAACAGGAAGTAGACATTGCTAGCTAGTAAACAAGAAGTAAACATTGCTAGCTAATAAACAGGAAGTAGACATTGCTAGCTAGTAAACAAGAAGTAGACATTTCTAGCTAGTAAACAAGAAGTAGACATTTCTAGCTGGTAAACAGGAAGTAGACATTGCTAGCTAGTAAACAGGAAGTAGACATTGCTAGCTAGTAAACAGGAAGTAGACATTGCTAGCTAGTAAACAAGAAGTAGACATTGCCAGCTAGTAAACAGGAAGTAGACATTTCTAGCTAGTAAACAGGTAGTAGACATTGCTAGCTAGTAAACAGGAAGTAGACATTTCTAGCTAGTAAACAGGAAGTAGACATTGCTAGCTAGTAAACAGGAAGTAGACATTGCTAGCTAGTAAACAGGAAGTAGACATTGCTAGCTAGTAAACAAGAAGTAGACATTGCTAGCTAGTAAACAGGAAGTAGACATTTCTAGCTAGTAAACAGGAAGTAGACATTGCTAGCTAGTAAACAGGAAGTAGACATTGCTAGCTAGTAAACAGGAAGTAGACATTGCTAGCTAGTAAACAGGAAGTAGACATTTCTAGCTAGTAAACAGGAAGTAGACATTTCTAGCTAATAAACAGAGAGTAGACATTGCTAGCTAGTAAACAGGAAGTAGACATTTCTAGCTAGTAAACAGGAAGTAGACATTGCTAGCTAGTAAACAGGAAGTAGACATTTCTAGCTAGTAAACAGGAAGTAGACATTTCTAGCTAGTAAACAGAAAGTAGACATTGCTAGCTAGTAAACAGCAAGTAGACATTTCTAGCTAGTAAACAGGAAGTAGACATTGCTAGCTAGTAAACAGAAAGTAGACATTGCTAGCTAATAAACAGGATGTAGACATTGCTAGCTAATAAACAGGAAGTAGACATTTCTAGCTAGTAAACAGGAAGTAGACATTGCTAGCTAGTAAACAAGAAGTAAACATTGCTAGCTAATAAACAGGAAGTAGACATTGCTAGCTAGTAAACAAGAAGTAGACATTTCTAGCTAGTAAACAAGAAGTAGACATTTCTAGCTAGTAAACAAGAAGTAGACATTTCTAGCTAGTAAACAAGAAGTAGACATTTCTAGCTAGTAAACAAGAAGTAGACATTTCTAGCTAGTAAACAAGAAGTAGACATTTCTAGCTAGTAAACAGGAAGTAGACATTTCTAGCTAGTAAACAGGAAGTAGACATTGCTAGCTAGTAAACAGGAAGTAGACATTGCTAGCTAGTAAACAAGAAGTAGACATTGCTAGCTAGTAAACAGAAAGTAGACATTTCTAGCTAGTAAACAGGAAGTAGACATTTCTAGCTAGTAAACAGGAAGTAGACATTGCTAGCTAGTAAACAGGAAGTAGACATTGCTAGCTAGTAAACAGGAAGTAGACATTGCTAGCTAGTAAACAAGAAGTAGACATTGCTAGCTAGTAAACAGGAAGTAGACATTTCTAGCTAGTAAACAGGAAGTAGACATTGCTAGCTAGTAAACAGGAAGTAGACATTGATAGCTAGTAAACAAGTAGACATTGCTAGCTAGTAAACAGGAAGTAGACATTTCTAGCTAGTAAACCGGAAGTAGAAATTTCTAGCTAGTAAACAGAGAGTAGACATTGATAGCTAGTAAACAGGAAGTAGACATTTCTAGCTAGTAAACAGGAAGTAGACATTGCTAGCTAGTAAACAGGAAGTAGACATTGCTAGCTAATAAACAGGATGTAGACATTGCTAGCTAATAAACAGGAAGTAGACATTTCTAGCTAGTAAACAGGAAGTAGACATTGCTAGCTAGTAAACAAGAAGTAAACATTGCTAGCTAATAAACAGGAAGTAGACATTGCTAGCTAATAAACAGGAAGTAGACATTGCTAGCTAATAAACAGGAAGTAGACATTGCTAGCTAGTAAACAAGAAGTAGACATTGCTAGCTAGTAAACAGGAAGTAGACATTGCTAGCTAGTAAACAGGAAGTAGACATTGCTAGCTAATAAACAGGATGTAGACATTGCTAGCTAATAAACAGGAAGTAGACATTTCTAGCTAGGAAACAGGAAGTAGACATTGCTAGCTAGTAAACAAGAAGTAAACATTGCTAGCTAATAAACAGGAAGTAGACATTGCTAGCTAATAAACAGGAAGTAGACATTGCTAGCTAATAAACAGGAAGTAGACATTGCTAGCTAGTAAACAAGAAGTAGACATTGCTAGCTAGTAAACAGGAAGTAGACATTTCTAGCTAGTAAACAGGTAGTAGACATTGCTAGCTAGTAAACAGGAAGTAGATATTTCTAGCTAGTAAACAGGAAGTAGACATTGCTAGCTAGTAAACAAGAAGTAGACATTGCTAGCTAGTAAACAGGAAGTAGACATTTAGAGCTAATAAACAGGAAGTAGACATTGCTAGCTAGTAAACAAGAAGTAGACATTGCTAGCTAGTAAACAAGAAGTAGACATTGCTAGCTAATAAACAGGACGTAGACATTGCTAGCTAGTAAACAGGAAGTAGATATTGCTAGCTAGCATGGACCAGCGCGTCCGTCCATCCTGGAGTTTCAGACTTTTCTTAGAGTTTGGTTCCTCTGGTAAGGCTCACATTCAACATTTGCTACTTCAGAACTTTTGGTAAATGTGTTTCCATGTCCTGTTAGCCTGTTAGCACATTAGCATGCTAATTCTTCTCAGAAGATTCAGAAGCCACCTTAAGGGAACAAAAAAGTTTTTTATGAAATTGAGAAAATCTGTTTCCTGTTTCTATCAGCCTTTTCTAATGTGATGCTTCAGATGTATGTAAAATCTCCACACCCTTCACCCCAACACACACACACACACACACACACACACACACACACACACACACACACACACACACACACACACACACACACACACAGACAGACATGCACACACACACACACACACACACATACACACACACACACACACACAGACAGACATGCACACACACATACACACACACACAGACAGACATGCACACACACATACACACACACACACACACACACACAAACAGACATGCACACACACATACACACACACACACACACACACAGACACACACACACACACAGACACACACACACATACACACACAGACACACACACACACACACACACACACACACAGGGAGCATCAGGAGCAACACACAGTTTAACACGCCACAGAGGGAAAATCCACTTCCTGTTGCCTGACGGACCAACAGGAAGCAGGAAGTAGAGGCTACAGGGTCATGTTTCCTCGTTTTCTCTTTGCCGATTGGCTGAGACAAGGCCTGACGGTCCTAGCAGAACCTCTGGTCTGAACCTGGTTCTGTTCTCCAACCTGGTTCTCCAGCCGCTTCAGTTGCTGAAAAATTTGTAATAACTATAAAACACTCATTGGCATTTCATAGATCCTCCATCTTCCTGGTCTTATTTACTCCTTTTTTCATAGAAATTTCTGGAAAAGAACTAAAAATCTGGATTGGTGGGTTTCCAGGAGGTCAGAGGTGAAGCGGTCGTTTGAGAGAAGCTGCTGGTGAGTCGGATCAGCAGAGGAAGTAGCCGCTGGTTACACAACGTTGCTGTTTCTGGCCGGCAGCTGAACACTAACCGCTCTGTTACACGTTAACGCTGCTCTGCTTCCTGAAATTATGGAAATGCTTCAAGCGATTCTGAAGAACTCTACAGTGTGAAAGGGAACTAAACCTCTGAAGCGGGTTTTATTTGTGCAGATCCGTTCAAAGCGACTGGACTGCAGCTTTATTTCTGCTCCATGTTTTCAGGAAACAGGAAGTTTAAATTTGTAGAGTAAGAAAATAAATGGGACAAATTCAAATTTAGATGTAAAACAAACAGAACTGTGAGATTGTAAAAGAAATGATACATAGTCAGCTCACATGAGAGCTCTGAACTTCTGGCTGATTTCTGAAAACATCTCCAGGAGAATCATTTAGCTGTCTGACTGGGAGCTTCTGGTGGTTCAAACTGGTTTCTCTGGGAATGAATAAACTTTCTGTTTCACATGAAAACCAGAGATGAGCCACAGATAACATGATCCATGATGCAATATTTCAGGATCTGACCGGCTGCTTCATCTTTACTTTATGAACTTATTTAAAACCAGATAATTATCAACTGGTTTCACTTTCTTAGCATCTCATCCTCATTGTCGGCCTGCAGTCGTCTCTCCTTACGGCTCCAGGTTTTACTGTGGGAACGCAAACAAAACGCACGATTTATGGCGCAATGAAAACTCAACCAACTGCTAAACATTCACCAAATCAGATGTCTGACGGGTCCAAACGTCCAACAGGTCTGTAAGCGGACCGGAAGCTTCCTATAGATTCTAAAGAATCCTCTAAAAGCTGCTTGTAGGAGCCATTTATATATATGTTGTTTAAAACTTAGTACAAAATGTTATTTTGTACTTATGTAAGTTTGAAAAGGATAATTATCTGTAATTGTATTGTGTTTCAGCTTGTTACGTGGTGCCTTTTGATTGGTTGTCTAATTAGTCAAAAAAGAGAAAAGGTTTTTGCTTTGTAGAAGTCTTTTGACTGTCACTTTCTGTTTGTTTTGAATCTGTTTGTTATTTTTTGTTGTTCAGTAAAACTTGAAGATAACCATCGGATTCAAGAACTCTATATTTTTAGAAGAAATGTGTCGCAAGAGCTTTAAGGGGTGAGGCTAGTGAGAGCTTGCCGCACTTACACTGCTCACTATTGATTATTCATCAGTAATCAATGATGGTGACGAAGCTGAGCGTACTGCTGTGTTAGAGCGTGATGATGATGATGATGATGATGATACTAGTGGTGATAATATTGATGTTGGGTTCTGCTTCCTGTCCAGCAGCACCATGGCCCGTTCCGCCTCGCAGGGCGAGATGACGGAGTACAGGAAGAACGTGATCAAGCGGGACCTGGAGATGGGCGTGGTCATGACGGTGTTCCGGCAGAAGGCGGAGCGGCTCACCGTGCAGGTCATCATGGAGACCCGGCAGGTGGCGTGGACGCGCACGGCGGATAAAACTGACGGAGTCCGTGAGTATAGACCGCCATTATTCATCCACACAGAAGAACCCAGAACCAGCAGCTAAACCCTGGTGTGAGCTGTGACTCCTGGGTTACCGAGTCAAAGTACAGAATGACATTGAGATCCTTCATGACAAACTGCTGGTGGAGGCGACATGAGGAGAATCCAGCTGGACAAACGACTGGAGATCTCCAGCAGCTCATCCGATCCGATGCGATGCGATCAGACCGTTTGCCTGCCTCATCCTTCATGCTGCTGAACAAACCGGACCCCATTTCAATGTGGAAGCTTTCCAAAGCCACCATCAGAAGAACAACTCCGGTCCGATCCTCTCGGTCCGATCCTCTCGGTCCGATCCTCTCCCTCGTTCCTCCTTCAGATGCCGTTCGTGTTGAAGGTTAAAGTTCACAGTGTGTCCCACATTTGCCCCGCCCATTTTGGGTCCCGTTTCCGCCCTTGCGTGAAGTCTGCCTTTTTGTGGACTTCAGCGAAGTGTTTTACCCACAATTCATTTCTGCATGTGACGTTCATGGCAATGTTTTGTTGTTTTTTTCCTGTCTTTATAAAAAATTTAAAGAAAATAGCTTGACAAGACACATTAGTAATAAAGTCTGATTTGATAAACTGAGCAGAAAAAAGAAACAAAAGAGAATAATCAAACTAAATGAGCAAAGTAAAACCAAACGGAAGACAAATTTCAAATCTTAAGATATTAACACATTGCTAGAAAGATTGGGCTTTGATTATGTTGCAACTTTTAAGCATTCTCTTAAATAAAATTACCTCACTTCAAAAATGGAGGTGATTTAAGAAAGCAGTATTTGAGAAAAAAACTTTGCCAGAGGGTTAAATATATTATAATTAACTGTTAATCCCGTTTTATTGCATTAAAACTGGAGACATGTCGCGAGACTGACTGCAACATAGGAAGAGTTGTTCTTCCTACCCAGAACAACTCTTTGAAGATATGATGGATTATTAAACTCTGAATCGGTTCAACCTCATTTGAGGTCAACTGTGGGTAAATCACTGTGGTAAAAGCTCTGGTTCCTCCTCCAGCTGCTGGGTTCCTGTCTGACATCGGGTCGCGCCCAGAGCTTCATTCTCAGAATTGCTTTCACTTCAATGGCATTCATTTCATTTGTTGCAATGATCAGGAGGAGGAGCTGAGTGTGGGCTGCTGTGGGGGACGTTAAGGGTTGTGTCCGGTAAGGACAGGTGAAGTCTGACCCGTTTGTTCTGTTCCAGTGGACCTGTCTGAGATCAGGGAAGTCCGTCCAGGAAGGAACTCCAAAGACTTTGAGCGCTTCAAAGACGGGAAGGACAAACACAACGACGACACCTGTTTCACCATCTTCTACGGCTCCCAGTTCGTCCTCAACACCCTCAGCCTGGGAGGTGAGCTCTGTCGTTCGTCTCGCTGTTCAGGTCAGAGTTCTGCTGAACTGGGTCGATACCGAACACCGCTCTGCTTGTCCTTTCAGCTGATTTCATTCCGGCTTAGTGTTCCTTGAGTGGTGATTTTTGTTCCTTGTTAATTTTGGACAGTAAAGTTTTGCTTTTTCAACCAGAGCAGCTGATTAGCATCTCAAGGCTCAAAGAATCCATGAACTTTGACTTCAAATCCCATCCATCGTCACCATGAAGGATCAGCTCCAGCCTCTTCCTGACTGTACAACCAGACAGATTTGAAAAACAGCAGTGAAAGCAAAGGAGGTGGATTAGCAGAGCTGCTAACAGTTGATGATGTCATTGTGTTGCTGTGGAACATCGTCTCTGCTGCATCCAGGCAGCATCGATACTCCTATGCTAACATGCTAAGAGCAACAGTCTTCAGCTTTGTTGCAACACTGACTGCTACTGGAGCTTCGTCCTGCCTCAGCCAAACTTTCCTCCTTCCAAACTTCTGTCAGGGACTGATGGGTGTACTTAGTTTTATTTAACACTTCCTTTTGTGTGTGTTTTATGTGCTGAAATTTAAATTTAACCAATTTCAGCACAAATGACATTGAACGCATCCTGATGCATTAAACCTTTCATGCGGGCTGTACTTTCTTTTCGGCACGGCAAGCTCCTCATCAAAAAACCATAAAAAAGAAGAAGTGAGCAGCGCTGCCCCCGGTGGACATTTGAATACATTTCCATAAATCATTTGCATATTTCTTTGATCTCTGATGGGACGTTGTGATGCGTTTCCTGTTTTGGGAGTGATGAGGTTGTGATGCGTTTCCTGTTTTGGGAGTGATGAGGTTGTGATGCGTTTCCTGTTTTGGGAGTGATGAGGTTGTGATGCGTTTCCTGTTTTGGGAGTGATGAGGTTGTGATGCGTTTCCTGTTTTGGGAGCAATGAGGTTGTGATGCGTTTCCTGTTCTTGGCTGAATTACAGCTAACTGGACTAACAGCTTCATTCGTGTTTGCAGCGGATTCGGTGGACGAGGCTCAGAAATGGCTATCAGGGCTGGAGCTGCTGAGAGAGGAGACGCTGGTGGCGCCGACCCCGGTTCTGATCGAGAGGTAGGCCCTGTTCTGATCCGCTCAGGGCTTCCCATGCTGCTGCTTCATCGCTTCTGTCTGCTCTCTCCCTCCAGCTGGCTCAGGAAGCAGATGTATTCTATCAGCCAGACCAAGAAAAACAGGTAGGACCCCACTTACCCTTTAACTAGACCAGAACCCTGAAGTCCAAACTCAACCTGCTGGTTCTACTAGGACGTTCTGTGACGAACCAACACCAAGCAGAGCAGAAGGAAAAACACTCAACGTTAAGCAATGAAAGAGCTAAAAAGTGCGGCACACACTTTTATTAATGTTCAAGAAAAATCAACATAAAAGGTTCTTTGTGTGGGCAGCATCCCAGTAGAGGGCGCTAACCTCTCACATCGAGCCGCAGTTATTTATTCATTCATTAAAAACAAATAATTGGCTCCATAAAATGTTCAGTTTCCAAGCTAACTGTCCAGCTTCCCACGTTAGCTCAGAGCTAAATATTTAGCTCAGACGTAAATTCACAGTGGATCTGTTGCGGCACCAGCAGAACCATACAGAGGTTCTGTTCTGACCCGGTTCTGTCTCTGCAGCCTCTCTGTGAAGGAGCTGAAGGCGCTGCTGCCGCTGCTGAACTACAAGGTTCCCAGCTCTCGCGCTCTGAAGGACAAGCTGCAGGTTTGATGGTTCTGAAGTTCCTCCGAGCCGAACCGGTCCAGACGGACGGTGTCGGGTCGGAGCGTTGAAGGCTTCTCTGCTCTGCTGTTGCAGGAAGTGGGAGTGAAGAAGGACCGCCTTGACTTTGAGCAGTTTCATAAGTTTTATAACCTGATGATGTTCGAGCAGAACGAGGTGAGGCGAGGCGAGGCGCCGCCAACGCCTCATGGCGGCAGCGCAGACCGTTAATCACTCTCTTCCTTCTGCGTTCAGATCCTGGACGAGTTCAAACGGGAAGCCTGTTCCTTCATCCTGGGGTGAGCGGTCCGCTCTGCTGCATCACCTGCTGCAGCACATCGCTGCTCTAACCACGTTTGCTTCTCCAACCTGCAGGAACACGGACAAACCAGACGCTTCAGCTGTGCTGCTCCATGATTTCCAACGATTTCTCATTTATGACCAGAAGGTGAGACTCAGACGTGTTTACCTGATGCACAGCAAAAACACCTGGAATCAGGAAGAAGTGATGAAACAAAATGAAAAATATTCAACGTTTGAGTCATTATACAGAAACTTAAGGCTGAATGTGTCAGTAACGCCTGATAATCTCACTATAACGAGAAACTAGAGAGCTTAATGTAGGGTTAGGGTTAACCTGTTAGGGTTAACCTGTTAGGGTTAACCCATCACTGAGCAACAGTCATTTATACAAACCTACCAAAAAAAAGTTTCTTTACTCCAAAAGCTTCATATTTGGTGCCATTTGCTTTATCAATATGAACATAACATTCCAATATTTAGCTCCAAAATGAATATTTCACTTAGCAAGCTAGCTAGATATTTAGCTAGCTCATAGCTAACTAAGTAGCAGCCTGTCAGAAGCACATCTGCAGTCACAGGGTTAGAAACAGGTCAGAGTCTCTGCTGAATATGACTGGTTCTGGTTCTGCTTTAGGAACCGTGGGCCAACGATCTGAACCAGGTCAGAGAGCTGATGACCATCTTCATCGATGACACCATGAGAAAAACTAACGACCCTGAGTTTACCGTCAGTGAGGTGCTTGACCCGTTTCTCCAGAACGTCGGCCCGTTTGGACCTCAGACCCGTGAAGACTGAATGTTTCCTCTGCTGTCTCTCCACCTTCAGTTCCTGAGTTTCCTGTTTTCCAAGGAAAACTCAATTTGGGATGAAAAGTTCTCTGAAATCAACAACCTGGACATGAACAACCCGCTGTCCCACTACTGGATCAGCTCCTCACACAACACGTGAGTTCACCTGAGCGGCAGGTAGACGGCGGGAGGGGGCTCTGGGTCCGATAGAACCAGACCAACTGACCTGGAGTTGGGTCTATTGGGTTCAGCTGTAGTGATGCTGCGGGCCTCACCGTCTCTGTAATGAATGTCAGCAAACCGAACGCTGTTGATTGCTGCTTCCTTTTCACTTTTGGCCAGTTCATTTGTTTTTCCAGTTGAATTTTCTGAACTGACTGCTGATGGTTGACGCTCAGAGCCAGGTGTGCATGATGCGGTGCGATCTGTTGCAGGTACCTGACAGGGGACCAGCTCCTCAGCGAGTCGTCCACCGAGGCGTACGTCCGCTGCCTCCGCTGGGGTTGCCGCTGCGTCGAATGTGAATACCGCGGTTCAGGAGTTCTTCAGGTGTGTTGGTGCCTCAGGCAGCAGGTGACCCAGATGTGTTTGGTTCACAGTGGACTGCTGGGAAGGTCCAGGAGAACCGATCATCTACCACGGCTGGACCAGAACCACAAAGATCAAGTTCGAAGATGTAGTGAAAGCCATAAACGACCACGCCTTTGTCGCCTCAGAGTGAGAATTGTAACGATCTGAGCCTGGAGGATGGGCGGAGCCAAACACCTGACCTTCCTGTGCTCCTCAGCTTCCCGCTCATCCTGTCCATCGAGGAGCACTGCCCCATCGAGCAGCAGCGCCAGATGGCACGCATCTTCAAGGACGTCTTCGGAGACAAGCTGCTGGCCGAGCCGGTGGAGCAGCTGGCCGAGCAGCTGCCCTCGCCCACGCAGCTGAGGGGCAAGATTATCCTGAAGGTAGGGGCGGAGCCAGCCGCCTGGCAGCAGGGACGGAGGCGTCAGGAAACTCAGCGCTCTGCTCTCTCTCCGTCTCGCAGCATAAGAAGGTGAACATGGAGGGCGGAGCCACAGCCAAGGACTTCAGGAAGGGGCAGAAGCAGGGAGACCTGGACATCTGGGACCCGGTGGACCAGGTAGGGCCCCCTGCTGGGACCCTTCAGATGCTCGCCAAACCACCAATCAATCAATCAACCGATCAGTCAATCAATCAATCAATCGAATTTATTAGAATAACACATTTCAGCAGCACTGCACCTAAAACGCTTTACGTCATAAAAACACAAAAATAAAATGCCATCAAAAATATCATATACTCACTACTGGAGAAACCGATAAACAGTTTAATGAGAGCCATTGTTAAGATCACAGCAGCATCAGATTAGCAGCTTCAGATTAGCAGCTTCAGATTAGCAGCATCAGATTAGCAGCATCAGATTAGCGGCTTCAGATTAGCAGCTTCAGATTAGCGGCTTCAGATTAGCAGCTTCAGATTAGCAGCATCAGATTAGCAGCATCAGATTAGCAGCTTCAGATTAGCAGCTTCAGATTAGCAGCTTCAGATTAGCGGCTTCAGATTAGCAGCTTCAGATTAGCAGCTTCAGATTAGCGGCTTCAGATTAGCGGCTTCAGATTAGCGGCTTCAGATTAGCAGCTTCAGATTAGCAGCATCAGATTAGCAGCATCAGATTAGCAGCTTCAGATTAGCATCTTCAGATTAGCGGCTTCAGATTAGCGGCTTCAGATTAGCATCTTCAGATTAGCGGCTTCAGATTAGCAGCATCAGATTAGCAGCATCAGATTAGCAGCTTCAGATTAGCATCTTCAGATTAGCGGCTTCAGATTAGCATCTTCAGATTAGCGGCTTCAGATTAGCGGCTTCAGATTAGCAGCTTCAGATTAGCGGCTTCAGATTAGCAGCTTCAGATTAGCGGCTTCAGATTAGCGGCATCAGATTAGCATCTTCAGATTATCATCTTCAGATTAGCGGCTTCAGATTAGCGGCTTCAGATTAGCAGCATCAGATTAGCGGCTTCAAATTAGCAGCTTCAGATTAGCAGCATCAGATTAGCATATTCAGATTAGCGGCTTCAGATTAGCGGCTTCAGATTAGCAGCTTCAGATTAGCAGCTTCAGATTAGCAGCATCAGATTAGCATCTTCAGATTAGCGGTTTCAGATTAGCAGCTTCAGATTAGCGGCTTCAGATTAGCAGCATCAGATTAGCATCTTCAGATTAGCAGATTCAGATTAGCAGCTTCAGATTAGCAGCTTCAGATTAGCAGCTTCAGATTAGCAGCATCAGATTAGCAGCTTCAGATTAGCAGCTTCAGATTAGCAGCTTCAGATTAGCAGCATCAGATTAGCAGATTCAGATTAGCTGGATGAAGCTTCATTCTCATTCCAACAGAACTCTTCCTGGATTTCTTCTCTTTGGTTGTTTGTGTGCAAACGGCAGAAACATAAATAAATCAACAGGATTTCTCTGCAAAGCCTCATTTTCTGGTTGGTGTGTGAAAATGTGAATGTGTGTTTTCCTCAGCGCTGGAACCGCCACTACTGTGTGATCTCTGACGACAAGCTGTACTACGCAGAGGAGAGCGAGGAGGAAGCCGAAGATCCCCGGAAGGTAAACGGCCGATTCCCACTGATGAGGAACGTTCAAGCGGTTCTTCTTAGTTTTTACTCCAAAGCTCCTTCTGCTCTGTAGGCTGCAGTTTGTAAAGTTACTGAAATTGACTGCAATTATGTTATATTTAGCCTTTAATAAGACATCAGAAATGGGGGTTAATTTTCTGTATTTTCACCACATTGTTCATTAATGTCAGCTAAATGTTAGCTTCAAACTAAGTACTTAGTTTGAAGCTAAATATTTAGGTTCAAGCTAAACATTTAGTTTAGTTGATAAACTAAATATTTAGCTTGCTAAATGAATATTTAGTTTGGTGAAAGTAGAACTTTAATAAAAGAACCGCATCTTTTTTTTCTCTTTTTCTAGACTAAATGGCTTTACAAACTAAATGGCTTTACAAACGGCAGCCATGCAGCTCCGTACCTTTCTTGCTTCAGTGCAACTAAAACTCTTTTACTCCTTATTGATCATGACTGATTTCTCTGCTGGCCACTGAATGATTTGCAGAGATATTTTCTCTGTTGGTGGTTTGGTTTGTCAGTACCAGGACCTGCACTGTTCGGAGCCCTGGTTTCACGGCCGCATCCAGGAGGGCAGGCTGATGGCGGAGCGCCTGATCCACGACTACTGCGCAGAAACCGGGGGACAGGACGGGACCTTCCTGGTCCGACAGAGCGACAGATACGTCACCGACTTCACCCTCTCCTTCTGGTACGGCCGTCGTCTGATCCGTGACTCGCTGCTGTGCTTTCCTCTGTAACGACGCCTGCGCTCGCCGTGTGTCTGCAGGCGCACCGGCAGAGTGCAGCACTGCCGGATCCGCTCCAGCGCAGAGGGAGGCCACTCCAACTTCTTCCTGACCCCCAACCTGCACTTCCCCAGCGTCTACTCTCTGATCGAGCACTACCGGGAAAACCCGCTGCGCTGCCAGGACTTTGAGCTGCGCCTCACCGAAGCCGTGCCCAAGCCGGACCCCCACCTGCAGGAGCGGTTCGTCCAGCGGCGCCTCAGCATTTCACATGAAATCGCAGCGTTTCCCAAACTGCAGCATTTCCATTCTACAGTTTCAATGAACAGACAGCAGACTCGTCCACACGCAGCCGGCTCTTGCTCAACACAAGCACATCTTTAAAAACCGATATCACAAATCTCCCCTCTGCAATGTTTTAAACATGCCAACCCATAGGGGGCAGTGTAGCGTAAACCTCCCAGCCAATTAGAATCTTTCAAAACAACCAGCACTTCCTGTTCGGAACCAAACATGGTGCCAGGAGGTTCAACTTCTGGTTCAACTTCTGGTTCACGCAGCATATTAAGCTGATAAAGTTGATAAATTTCAGTATAATTCCGACTGGCTTTGAATCAAGTCAAAGCCAGAATGTGGAAATATTGGCTGGAATGCACCGCACCCTAAATATCATTAACACAGTCTCCACTTTGCTTAGGTTTTATAAATAATAGTTTTTGTGAAATTGAAGGTAGTTTTAGTGAAGTTCAAAACGTATAAATATTTATTTTCCCAAGCCTGGAAGCCAGAGCCGTTCTGGATTTGGTGCTTTCTGGTGCGTCGCCCCCACAAACACAGGAATGACTCGGTTCTCAGTCTGATGGAATAAAATGCTTTAGATACATTAGATTTTTAATATAATTTAAAATGCTAAATTACATTCTATTTTTTATGAGAAACATTTTTATGAAACATTATTACTAAGATTTCTAACATAAGCTTTAGAACAATATTAAATCTTTGTCTGAATATTGACCATTATTACAGCTCAATAAGATTAACAGCCTGAGTTTGGTATCTCTATGATCAGAGAGCGATCATAGAGATCGTAGTTTGAGTTGTGGCCGGCCAGCTGGTGTAGCTGCTGGTTCTGGTTCTGGTTCTGGTTCTGGCTGTGAGATCAGAACATCTGCCTGCAAACAGAAGTTGGCTGCAGATATGAAAATGAAGCTTGGAACCTGATTTGGTTTGAAAAACAGTTTAATTTCAGAGCAGCAGTGTTTGTTGAAATGGCTTCCTGATGAGCAGATAAATGTTGGTAACAGAAGAATCTGAACTGTTCATGGTTGCAGCAACAGGTGGGGGAAGGGAGCTCTATTTATGGTTCACAGTAGAAAATGCTGTATGTTTATCATACCCAACAGCAACTTTCTTCAGCATAAAACTCATGACGATCGATCACAGCAGCAGGAAATCAGAAACGAGGCTGCGTTCAAAATAGTCCTTATTTTTCTAGTTCTGATTCTGGGAAGGGTCTGAACCAGAAACCAGATCTGGGTTCTGTCTCTCTAAGGCCTCTGAGGAAAACCTTTCCGTCTCTTTGGGAAGGTTTTCAGCAGCAGGTGTGAGTGGAACGGTGACGGCTGGTTCTGTAGTGGTGACGGCTGGTTCTGTAGTGGTGACGGCTGGTTCTGTAGTGGTGACGGCTGGTTCTGTAGTGGTGACGGCTGGTTCTGTGCTCCGCAGATGGTTCTACAGCAACCTGAGCAGAGGCCAAGCGGAGGATTACCTGCTCAGGATCCCCAGAGACGGAGCGTTCCTGATCCGACAGAGGGAAGGAGAGCCAGACTCCTTCGCCATCACCTTCAGGTACAACAACCAACCTGAACTTGGTTTTCAACTCTGAGTCTGGCCCAGATGCCTGTGCAGTCACTCTGTCAGCAGTCCAGAGAGCCTCTCCTCTCTGACTCCTGTCTCAGCTTCAGTATTATTTGAACTTTAGAGATTTAGGCTCCTTGCTGCCATGGCCAACGACTATCTGCAGCTAAAAAAGGAGGAGAAAAGTTTTAAAAGACCAAATCAGAGGGCATGTAGCAGGTCGGCCTTCTGGTTCAGAGTCTCGTGTTCTCCGTCCTGCAGAGGCGATGGGAAGGTGAAGCACTGCCGGATCCAGAAGGAGGGCAGCGTCTACCTGCTGGGGACCACCACGGAGTTCGAGTCTCTGGTGGAGTTGGTGAACTACTTCAAGAAGAAACCGTTGTATCGCAAGATCAAGCTGCGTTACCCAGTGACGCCGGAGCTGGTGGAGCGCTTCAGTGCAGTGAGTTTCTGAGCGAGTGAGAGAAACCAGAGCGAGTGAGAGCGGAGCGCTTCAGGAACTGTGAATACTAACAGGTTCTCATGGCTCACAGAACGAGAACTGCTCTTCCATATACATGGAGACGTACGTGAAGCCCAACGAGATTGAGCCGTCGCTGGTGAGTAAACTCCTTTTCTGATTTTTTCCCCATGGCTTTTCATTGCAGCAGTTGATTACTCAGCTTTGGTGTTTCAGCCCCAGAATACGGTCCGGGCTTTGTACAGCTACCAGGCCAAGCGACCCGACGAGCTGAGCTTCACTAAAGGAGCACTGATTCATAACGTGTCCAAACAAGTGGACGGGTGGTGAGTTCCACCCTCCCGGCCAGGGTCCTGTTCCCCACGGGCCTGTGACCCGGTCCGGTTCAGTCAGCAGTTCAGTCACATTGCTCTTGTTCTTCCAGGTGGAAAGGCGACTACGGAGGGCGACTGCAGCTCTTCTTCCCTGCCAATTACGTGGAGGAAGTGTCCAACTCAGCACAGACTGACGCCAAAGCTCAGGTCAGACCCGTGCCATGCTGCGGCCGCCGCAGAGGCGCCATCATCACTCAACAAGTTGTGATGTGACCTACAGGAGATGGAAGACAACCCTCTGGGGGAACTCTGCAAGGGAATCGTGGAGATCTCCATGTACAACATCCAGAACAGTAAGTGACCTTTGACCTTGTTTAGCTTCTGATGAAATGTGAAGGCAGAAAGATTCTCCCTGGAGTTCAGTCAGAAGGTCACTGGCTCAGTGAATAAAGTCGTCTTTATTTAGTTGAATCTGTCTGTCTGCAGTGAAGAACGGTAAATACGGAAAGCCGCATGTCCTGACCCTGCAACACAAGGAGCAGGACAGCGTGCAGTTCGACCTGGCCGCCGGCTCGCTGGAGGAGCTGTTCGAGTGGTACCAGGTGGCCTGGGACGTGACCCAGAGGGAGATGAGCAAGCAGTACCACCGGGAGCAGGAGGTGAGGACAACGCCATGAATCAAGCTGCAGATGCTCAGGACGCTCCAGCTGCAGCAACGACCGCTGCAGTTACGCCTTCACACGGCCAGAACTTCACCAGAACAGAAAACAAAGCACCAGGGAATCTCTTGGTCTCTCATGGTCACAACGTCGTCGCACACTGTGACCAAAATCTGCTATTTGGTGATGTGATGTTCACGACTGAACGATCTGATTATTCTGAACGGTTCTTTACAAAGAATGATAGGACTGGAGCCTCACTGAGAACCATTCTTTGTTTTTGCTATGCTCTGCAGCAGCTATTACTGTTCTATTTTATTAAAAAATATATATTTACTCGTCAAATAGATAAACTAACAGAGCGCAGGCTCATTGCTCTTTGATTAACTTGGTCGCCTGGTTTCATGCAGGAGGAGACAGAGAGACAACAGACACGTTCTCCTGTTTGGCTACTTGTTGCTTCTTGGTCAGTGTTGATAGAAGGGCTGAAACGATCCCTCAAATGATTCCAGTTCCTCGATTATTAAAATTCCTCTAGGAAAGTTTCCCTGCCTCAAAGCTTTGTGAGTTTATGTTTTATGATTCAGCACCGTGTTCTGGTCGGCTCGTTATTTACACGGAGCTCTGACTTCCTCTGAGTTTTGACCCAAGCGTTATCGTCGTAATGTCCAATCTTCAGGTTCGGCCAGTGGGGATTTTATCGATCGATGATAGTGTCCGGGGCGATTTTGGGGGACCAATCCTTAAAATGACGGGCGATGCCTGGAGTGCGGCAGCTTTTCTCCTCTGGAGCTGCTGGTTCAGAGCTGCAGGAGGGTTGATGCAGGCAGAGGACAGACTGAACACGGCGGGCGACCGAGCAGCCGATGGTTACAGTGCAGTTTTATGGACAAACCGCACAATAAGTTTCATATCATCCCGGACTGAACAAACGGAGGCGGAGCATCGTGGCGGTTCATGGCTGGTAGTTTCTGAGAGTGATGACGAAGGTACCGTAAACATCCCGTATTGCTGCCCGGGTCTGAAATTCATCCCCTGCTCAACTGGTCCCATTGAACTGATATTGAAATCTGACAGTAACACCGATGTTGTGCCAGATTTACCAATCATTATTAGACTTTTTGTTTTAATCCAATTACTGGATTAATTGTAAGAATAATCGATAGAATACTCTTTAGTAAAGTAATCATTTACAACAGCCCTAGTTCATGGTATTTTCTGACATTGGCCATATGAGCCACCAGGGCGTTAAAGCTGAAATAAATTGTCATTATCAATTCAAACTCATGTCGCCCCTAACAATTTAAGTATTTACTATTTAGCTGTGTTTTGTGGGAATGTGGCTCTTTCAGATCAATTTGAGAATCAATTTTGATCATGTTTCACATTCTATGGACTCATGTAGCGCGTGGCGCTGAAATGAGGGTTAGGATTCTTAGATAAATCAGTTCTTTTGGTTCAACTCTACAAAGTGCTGGTATTCACAAAATGACACAAAGACAAAGCAGCACAACAATAAAAGCTTCTGGGTCCGTCATCCAGTCCAGAACCAAACCAATGCCAGCAGGCTTCCTACCACTATTTAGTCTGCAGACGCTCAAATCTCAGAGTGAAAGGTGAAAAGTTTGGGGTGTTAAAACAGGAAGTTTGTGCTAAACCCTCAGTTTCATTTGTGAAGATGAAAGTGAAAGAGACAAATAATAAAAATAAAGCAGAAGATTTTATACTGAGACATTTAGACTGAAATCACGAGAAGATGAAAGTGTTGTTTCCGTGGGAGAGTCTCAGACTAGAGCTGCAAATGGTGGTCTAATGGCGTGACTGTACAAACAGGAAGTGGTTGTTCTTTCTGTCCAAACTCAGATGAAACAACAGGAGGAAGTGGAGAAGAAGGCGGAGGTTGCCATGGAGATGTCTGATCTGGTGGTCTACTGCCAGCCTCGCAGCAAAGAGAAAGATCGCTTTGGTAAGCGCACCCTACGCATCAGCAGCATCACAGAACCACAACATCACAGAACCAGCAGCATCACAGAACCACAACATCACAGAACCAAACGCAGCATCACAGAACCAAACGCAGCATCACAGAACCAGCAGCATCACAGAACCAAACGCAGCATCACAGAACCACAGCATCACAGAACCAAACGCAGCATCACAGAACCAAACGCAGCATCACAGAACCACAGCATCACAGAACCACAGCATCACAGAACCAAACGCAGCATCACAGAACCAGCAGCATCACAGAACCAAACGCAGCATCACAGAACCACAGCATCACAGAACCAAACGCAGCATCACAGAACCAGCAGCATCACAGAACCAAACGCAGCATCACAGAACCAAACGCAGCATCACAGAACCAAACGCAGCATCACAGAACCAAACGCAGCATCACAGAACCAAACGCAGCATCACAGAACCAGCAGCATCACAGAACCACAACATCACAGAACCACAACATCACAGAACCAAACGCAGCATCACAGAACCAAACGCAGCATCACAGAACCAAACGCAGCATCACAGAACCAGCAGCATCACAGAACCAAACGCAGCATCACAGAACCAAACGCAGCATCACAGAACCACAGCATCACAGAACCAAACGCAGCATCACAGAACCAGCAGCATCACAGAACCAAACGCAGCATCACAGAACCAAACGCAGCATCACAGAACCAAACGCAGCATCACAGAACCACAGCATCACAGAACCAAACGCAGCATCACAGAACCAGCAGCATCACAGAACCAAACGCAGCATCACAGAACCAAACGCAGCATCACAGAACCAAACGCAGCATCACAGAACCAAACGCAGCATCACAGAACCAGCAGCATCACAGAACCAGCAGCATCACAGAACCACAACATCACAGAACCAGCAGCATCACAGAACCACAGCATCACAGAACCACAGCATCACAGAACCACAGCATCACAGAACCACAGCATCACAGAACCACAGCATCACAGAACTAAACACGTCCAGAACTAAATGCTCCAGATTTGTGTCGGCTCCCTCAGCGCTGAGCAGCTTCTGTGCTCGGTTGCCTCACCCAGGTGAGAAACCAACAGGATGTGATCAAAGGGAAACATTGTGGAGGCCCGACAACTTCCTGTCTGCTGTGACTCTAAACCTCAAAGTGTCAGTGGAGGCCTAACCCTCAGAGTGGAAAATATACAAATAGCTGCTAGAGCATTTTCCTGCTGTTCAACTGGTCTAGTCCAAGATCCTCTGGGTTCCTCTAACCTCCTATGACCCTCTGACCTTCTGATCCCCTCTCTCTCTCTGCAGACAGCTACAGCTATAAGGAGGTTCGCTCCTTCATGGAGAACAAGATTCCGGGAAAGAGCCGCACCAAGGACTTCCTGCGCTACAACCGCAAAGCTCTGAGTCGGATCTACCCCAAAAACCAGCGGGTGGAGTCCTCCAACTTTGACCCCTACCCACTGTGGGCAGTGGGCTGCCATATGGTGGCGCTCAACTACCAGACCGCAGGTACGGAACCAGGCAGGCACCCCTCGGGTCAGCCGAGTTGTCTCCACGATGACGGATCCTAGAGGAGGAGGAGAGAACGCATCTATTCTAGGGCTGGATGTAGGAGTCAGAGGGTTCAGGGGTCAGGATAGTAAAGCCATAACATCTCCAGAGAACGATGACTAGACCTGATTTTATTTTTCTGTTGGGTGAAGCTGCAGATGATCTTCAGCTTTTAAATGTAGAACACATTTCTCCTTTAAGATTATGAGTTTTGTGTTTTCAGCTTCAGATCGGAAGAGATCTGAAGGGCCTGACTTTCTCAGGCAAGCTTCATTCTTGTGTTTGAGGAAGTTTGTTTATTTAGAAACCTGAAGCTGATTGTTGTCTGGACAGATAAATACACTCAGCTGAACAGCGCCCTCTTCAGCCTGAATGGGAACAGCGGCTATGTGCTGCAGCCGGAGATGATGCGCTCCGACGGCTACGACCCGCATCAGGAGAAGAAGAAAGTCAAGTACAGCATCAAAGTCAAGGTAGAGTTCACCTGGATCCTGATTGGTTCCGGTCGGATGCTCAGTGGATCCTGACTGGTTGCTTTGTCCCCCAGGTGATCGCTGCCAGACACCTGCCCAAGCCGGGCCGCAGCATCGCCAGCCCGTTCGTGGAGGTGGAACTGTGCGGACACTCAGATGAGAAGTTCAAGACCATCGTGTACCGTGAGTGTGACGCGCCGCGAGAACGAGGCGGCGGTCCGCTGCGTGTCTCTAACCCGTCCGCTGGCTGCAGGTGACAACGGCCTGAACCCGGTGTGGAAAGCGCCAGCGGAGCCGGTGGAGTTCAGTGTGTTTGAGCCAGAGCTCAGCTTTCTGCGCTTCGTGGTCAACGAGGAGGACATGTTCTCCGACCCCAACTTCCTGGCCCAGGCCACACTTCCTGTCAAAGGCATCCGCTCAGGTGGGACGTCAGGGTGCTGCATGGTGGCTGCATCATAAGTGCAGTCCAGTCTGTGATTGCTCAGAAGGTTCAGACAGTGAACAGGTGAGAGGAGCTGCCGTAGCAACACGCCCAGGTGTATTGCTGGGGTTCAGATGACGTAGCTCCGACATCACCCAGTGCAGATGGAGGGCAGGAAGTAAATGTATTTATTTCTGCTGAACAGCACCAAAATGTCTAAAGTCTGAGTCCTGTACGGTTGTTCCTGCCGTTCTAACGGAGAGAAAAATTCACTTTATTTTCGTATTTTGAAGGCAGTTATTTCCAGGGACTTCATTTAAAAAACGTAGCGAAAAAAGAGGAGAAAAGTGGATCAACAATCTTTCCCGATTCACTCAGGCAGAAACGAGTCGAAGGCCATTTAATGCTTCTGTTTGTCCTAAATTTGACCCAACCTGAAACTGAATGATTTTATTCTCCAGGCTTTTGGAAACGTTCTTCTGGCTCGTGATGTGATATGAGGCCTGCAGCTCCAGGTGGTTCGTTATGTGGATCTAACTAACAATCAGGAAGGGAAATCCTCATGATTATAAGAAAAGACTTTTGTACCAAGATAATACGGATCATACCTTAAATATACACATATTTTTTTCAGATGCCTTCAGCATATTTAGGGCATTAGCTACTCGTTGTGACCCATTTTGCTTTGTTTGGAACCAGAGAAATCCACTTCCGGGCCTCCATCTGAATTCTGCGCGTCGTCCGGGTCACGTGTCTGAAACCCAGCAATAGGTGAACTCCTGTCAGCTGCAACAGGAACAACAAGCTTTACACAGGAAGTAGATTTGTTCAACGGAGGAAGTTTGCTGCACAAAAACCAACAAACCAAATAGTTTCACAAAATAAAATCCTGATTATGATGATCATAAATACATTTGGGCTGTGCAGCTGGACAATGTGCCAAGTATATTTGCAGAACTTCATTAACTACCGGAGTCCAAATGGGAACAGGAGTAATAAATCCCATTTAGCACAAATACATATGGCAAGCTTGCAGAAAACGTTTCACGCTGTATGTCAACCATTATACGTTCGTACATAAAAAACAGTGAAATACCATGAAAACCATTTTATTGCTCCAATGTTGCACATTTCTGCGACTGGTTTTATGTTTTTTTTCCTTGTCAGAACATGCTGGTTTACATTAGCTTCATTTCAGGATGCAAAACCTCACAGGAGAAAATCTGAGCAGAAACAGATTTTAGTGCATCAGGTCACTTTTCTTCTCTTCCATCAACCATGACCAGAATTCATCACTATTCATCAAATAACATGCTTTTCTTTTCTTTTCTTTTCTTTTTTTTCTTTTCTTTTCTTTTCTTGGTATGAATAGTTTAGCACAATGTGCTTCAGCCGGAAGCTTTCTTCTTCTACTGTTATGTTTTTTTCTCTGATGTCTAATGTAAACCCCACGCCACCTACTGGCAGTTTCTGGTAGCAAAAGAAAACCCTGATTAAAAAACAGATTTTCTGGTGCAGTAGAAACAAGAATTATATAAAACATTAACAATAACATTACATACACACACATGCATACAGATGGGGCTTACACAGAAATATGACAAACTTTCGTTTGGTTTTAGCCCTAACCCTACTCATAAATCAGCAAAAAAAAAATATTTCATTAAATTTACTTGAATGTTAAACTTTAAAAACAATTCGACACAATTAGAAAACAAGTTCTATTGATTCCCACGACCACTAGTGATTGTGCATTGTTCAGTTTATTGATCAGTTTGTGTGTCTGTTCCTCTCAGGTTATCGCTCCGTCCCGCTGAAGAACGGCTACAATGAGAACCTGGATCTGGCCGCACTGCTCGTTTACATTAATGTTCAACAGGCAGGGGTGAGTCAGTCAGTCAGTGAGCGCGCTCAGCCTGCAACTTCCTTCGTAACCTTTGACCCTGTGACCCGTCCAGAGAGCCGAGGAGGAGCTGTACTCGTCGTCCAGCCAGCTGAGGAAGAAGCAGGCGGAGCACAGCGAGCCCTTCCTGTACGACACGCACAGCAACCTGCAGCGGGCTGCGCTGCCCCACCAACACGGCCAGCTGGTTCGCGAGTCCAGCGAGAGACACAGGTACCTGGTCTCCATGGCAACCACTCATTTTTCAGTCATTGTTGCAATACAATGTGAAGAAGAGGGATTTTATCTCAGGTGTGAGCTCAGGCTGACAGAGCAGCGGTCCGTTGCTGTTTAGTGACGCTCAGGATTTCATCCAATAAGAGACTGGCTGGCCAAGTTCCGCCCCCTCCTTTATCATACTTAACTCTGATTGGTCAGCTGCAGAAGGCAGAACTGACATCATCGCTTCTCTTTTAAACTGATTCTGCAGACAGAACAATTAATCATGATCATATTTTGGAAAGAGACGTAAATCAGGCCATTTTTGTTCTCGTTATACCAAATGCTGCCACTAGGGGCGTGTAGCGCAAGAGAAACTAAGAAACGTTTAAAGGGATCCAAGATTAGTTGCAACAATGGCCTTTATTTGGGTTATTTTAGATGTAATAATATTGTAGGTCAGTGGGTCTTGGATGGCTGGCATCCTGCATGTTTTAGTCTCTCCCTGGTTTAAGGCACCTGGATCCAATGATGACTCGTTTGAGGCCGAAGCAGAACTCTGACCTGCTGAAAAGGGTGTTGGTACCAGGGAGAGAAGAAAACATGCAGGATGGCTGGCAGTCCTCCAGGACCCACTTTGGGCATCCATGCTGTAGGATATTTAGTTTTTATACATTTTAATAACATATTGTCACAGGAATGTCGCTATGTTGTTCATGCTGCAATGTAAAAAATTACATGTAAGGAGGGTAAGCTTCCTGGCTCCCCCAGCCAAAACAGTGCTGAGTAACGTCATCATTAAGCCTTTCTAATTTGAACCGCAGTGCATTAAACCCGATCAGAACTAGAAATAACACGTGATGATGAGGAGGAGCAAATAGAGGAAGAGTTGGCCACTGCTGCTGCCTTCAGCTTCATAATGAAACAATGACTGAGACTCACCTCCGGTCACTGCGTGGTCCGGTACCCGGTACCGGAGCTCTGTCCGCTTCGGCAACAGCTGTCACTAGTGGTGGTTTCACATTCAGTACGATTGCAATAGCTCCGTTAGCATTTCTAGTAAAGATAGCTCCATTAGCATTTCTAGTAGAAATAGCTCCGTTAGCATTTCTAGTAAAGATAGCTCCATTAGCATTTCTAGTAAAGATAGCTCCATTAGCATTTCTAGTAGAGATAGCTCCATTAGCATTTCTAGTAGAGATAGCTCCGTTAGCATTTCTAGTAAAGATAGCTCCATTAGCATTTCTAGAGATAGCTCCATTAGCATTTCTAGTAGAGATAGCTCCGTTAGCATTTCTAGTAGAGATAGCTCCATTAGCATTTCTAGTAGAGATAGCTCCATTAGCATTTCTAGTAGAGATAGCTCCATTAGCATTTCTAGTAGAGATAGCTCCATTAGCATTTCTAGTAGAGATAGCTCCGTTAGCATTTCTAGTAGAGATAGCTCCGTTAGCATTTCTAGTAAAGATAGCTCCATTAGCATTTCTAGTAGAGATAGCTCCGTTAGCATTTCTAGTAAGATAGCTCCATTAACATTTCTAGTAGAGATAGCTCCGTTAGCATTTCTAGTAGAGATAGCTCCGTTAGCATTTCTAGTAGAAATAGCTCCGTTAGCATTTCTAGTAGAGATAGCTCCATTAGCATTTCTAGTAGAGATAGCTCCATTAGCATTTCTAGTAGAGATAGCTCCGTTAGCATTTCTAGTAGAGATAGCTCCATTAGCATTTCTAGTAGAGATAGCTCCATTAGCATTTCTAGTAGAGATAGCTCCGTTAGCATTTCTAGTAGAGATAGCTCCATTAGCATTTCTAGTAGAGATAGCTCCGTTAGCATTTCTAGTAGAGATAGCTCCGTTAGCATTTCTAGTAAAGATAGCTCCATTAGCATTTCTAGTAGAGATAGCTCCGTTAGCATTTCTAGTAAAGATAGCTCCATTAGCATTTCTAGTAGAGATAGCTCCGTTAGCATTTCTAGTAGAGATAGCTCCGTTAGCATTTCTAGTAGAAATAGCTCCGTTAGCATTTCTAGTAGAGATAGCTCCATTAGCATTTCTAGTAGAGATAGCTCCATTAGCATTTCTAGTAGAGATAGCTCCGTTAGCATTTCTAGTAGAGATAGCTCCATTAGCATTTCTAGTAGAGATAGCTCCATTAGCATTTCTAGTAGAGATAGCTCCGTTAGCATTTCTAGTAAAGATAGCTCCATTAGCATTCTAGTAGAGATAGCTCCGTTAGCATTTCTAGTAGAAATAGCTCCGTTAGCATTTCTAGTAGAGATAGCTCCATTAGCATTTCTAGTAGAGATAGCTCCATTAGCATTTCTAGTAGAGATAGCTCCGTTAGCATTTCTAGTAGAGATAGCTCCATTAGCATTTCTAGTAGAGATAGCTCCATTAGCATTTCTAGTAGAGATAGCTCCGTTAGCATTTCTAGTAGAGATAGCTCCATTAGCATTTCTAGTAGAGATAGCTCCGTTAGCATTTCTAGTAGAGATAGCTCCGTTAGCATTTCTAGTAGATAGCTCCGTTAGCATTTCTAGTAGAGATAGCTCCGTTAGCATTTCTAGTAAAGATAGCTCCATTAGCATTTTTAGTAGAGATAGCTCCGTTAGCATTTCTAGTAGAGATAGCTCCGTTAGCATTTCTAGTAGAAATAGCTCCGTTAGCATTTCTAGTAGAGATAGCTCCATTAGCATTTCTAGTAGAGATAGCTCCATTAGCATTTCTAGTAGAGATAGCTCCATTAGCATTTCTAGTAGAGATAGCTCCGTTAGCATTTCTAGTAGAGATAGCTCCATTAGCATTTCTAGTAGAGATAGCTCCATTAGCATTTCTAGTAGAGATAGCTCCGTTAGCATTTCTAGTAAAGATAGCTCCATTAGCATTTCTAGTAGAGATAGCTCCGTTAGCATTTCTAGTAGAGATAGCTCCGTTAGCATTTCTAGAAATAGCTCCGTTAGCATTTCTAGTAGCGATAGCTCCGTTAGCATTTCTAGTAGAGATAGCTCCGTTAGCATTTCTAGTAGATAGCTCCGTTAGCATTTCTAGTAGCGATAGCTCCGTTAGCATTTCTAGTAGAGATAGCTCCGTTAGCATTTCTAGTAGAGATAGCTCCCTTAGCATTTCTAGTAGAGATAGCTCCGTTAGCATTTCTAGTAAAGATAGCTCCATTAGCATTTCTAGTAGAGATAGCTCCGTTAGCATTTCTAGTAGAAATAGCTCCGTTAGCATTTCTAGTAGCGATAGCTCCGTTAGCATTTCTAGTAGAGATAGCTCCATTAGCATTTCTAGTAGCGATAGCTCCGTTAGCATTTCTAGTAGAGATAGCTCCGTTAGCATTTCTAGTAGAGATAGCTCCGTTAGCATTTCTAGTAGAGATAGCTCCGTTAGCATTTCTAGTAGAGATAGCTCCGTTAGCATTTCTAGTAGTGATGGCTCCGTTAGCATTTCTAGTAGAAATAGCTCCGTTAGCATTTCTAGTAGAGATAGCTCCGTTAGCATTTCTAGTAGAGATAGCTCCGTTAGCATTTCTAGTAGAGATAGCTCCGTTAGCATTTCTAGTAGAGATAGCTCCATTAGCATTTCTAGTAGAGATAGCTCCATTAGCATTTCTAGTAGAGATAGCTCCGTTAGCATTTCTAGTAGAGATAGCTCCGTTAGCATTTCTAGTAGAAATAGCTCCGTTAGCATTTCTAGTAGCGATAGCTCCGTTAGCATTTCTAGTAGAGATAGCTCCGTTAGCATTTCTAGTAGAGATAGCTCCGTTAGCATTTCTAGTAGCGATAGCTCCGTTAGCATTTCTAGTAGAGATAGCTCCGTTAGCATTTCTAGTAGAGATAGCTCCCTTAGCATTTCTAGTAGAGATAGCTCCGTTAGCATTTCTAGTAAAGATAGCTCCATTAGCATTTCTAGTAGAGATAGCTCCGTTAGCATTTCTAGTAGAGATAGCTCCGTTAGCATTTCTAGTAGAAATAGCTCCGTTAGCATTTCTAGTAGCGATAGCTCCGTTAGCATTTCTAGTAGAAATAGCTCCGTTAGCATTTCTAGTAAGATAGCTCCATTAGCATTTTTAGTAGAGATAGCTCCGTTAGCATTTCTAGTAGAGATAGCTCCGTTAGCATTTCTAGTAGAGATAGCTCCGTTAGCATTTCTAGTAGAGATAGCTCCGTTAGCATTTCTAGTAAAGATAGCTCCATTAGCATTTCTAGTAGAGATAGCTCCATTAGCATTTCTAGTAGCGATAGCTCCGTTAGCATTTCTAGTAGAGATAGCTCCGTTAGCATTTCTAGTAGAGATAGCTCCGTTATCATTTCTAGTAGAGATAGCTCCGTTAGCATTTCTAGTAGTGATGGCTCCGTTAGCATTTCTAGTACTGATGGCTCCGTTAGCATTTCTAGTAGAAATAGCTCCGTTAGCATTTCTAGTAGAGATGGCTCCGTTAGCATTTCTAGTAGTGATGGCTCTGTTAGCATTTCTAGTAGAGATAGCTCCATTAGCATTTCTAGTAGAGATAGCTCCGTTAGCATTTCTAGTAAAGATAGCTCCATTAGCATTTTTAGTAGAGATAGCTCCGTTAGCATTTCTAGTAGAGATAGCTCCGTTATCATTTCTAGTAGAGATAGCTCCGTTAGCATTTCTAGTAGTGATGGCTCCGTTAGCATTTCTAGTACTGATGGCTCCGTTAGCATTTCTAGTAGAAATAGCTCCGTTAGCATTTCTAGTAGAGATGGCTCCGTTAGCATTTCTAGTAGTGATGGCTCTGTTAGCATTTCTAGTAGAGATAGCTCCATTAGCATTTCTAGTAGAGATAGCTCCGTTAGCATTTCTAGTAAAGATAGCTCCATTAGCATTTTAGTAGAGATAGCTCCGTTAGCATTTCTAGTAGAGATAGCTCCGTTAGCATTTCTAGTAGAGATAGCTCCGTTAGCATTTCTAGTAGAGATAGCTCCGTTAGCATTTCTAGTAGAAATAGCTCCGTTAGCATTTCTAGTAGAGATAGCTCCATTAGCATTTCTAGTAGCGATAGCTCCGTTAGCATTTCTAGTAGAGATAGCTCCGTTAGCATTTCTAGTAGAGATAGCTCCGTTATCATTTCTAGTAGAGATAGCTCCGTTAGCATTTCTAGTAGTGGCTCCGTTAGCATTTCTAGTAGTGATGGCTCCGTTAGCATTTCTAGTAGAAATAGCTCCGTTAGCATTTCTAGTAGAGATAGCTCCGTTAGCATTTCTAGTAGCGATAGCTCCGTTAGCATTTCTAGTAGAAATAGCTCCGTTAGCATTTCTAGTAGAGATGGCTCCGTTAGCATTTCTAGTAGTGATGGCTCTGTTAGCATTTCTAGTAGAGATAGCTCCATTAGCATTTCTAGTAGAGATAGCTCCGTTAGCATTTCTAGTAAAGATAGCTCCATTAGCATTTTTAGTAGCGATAGCTCCGTTAGCATTTCTAGTAGAGATAGCTCCGTTAGCATTTCTAGTAGAGATAGCTCCGTTAGCATTTCTAGTAGAGATAGCTCCGTTAGCATTTCTAGTAAGATAGCTCCATTAGCATTTCTAGTAGAGATAGCTCCATTAGCATTTCTAGTAGCGATAGCTCCGTTAGCATTTCTAGTAGAGATAGCTCCGTTAGCATTTCTAGTAGAGATAGCTCCGTTATCATTTCTAGTAGAGATAGCTCCGTTAGCATTTCTAGTAGTGATGGCTCCGTTAGCATTTCTAGTACTGATGGCTCCGTTAGCATTTCTATTAGAAATAGCTCCGTTAGCATTTCTAGTAGAGATAGCTCCATTAGCATTTCTAGTAGCGATAGCTCCGTTAGCATTTCTAGTAGAGATAGCTCCGTTAGCATTTCTAGTAGAGATGGCTCCGTTAGCATTTCTAGTAGTGATGGCTCCGTTAGCATTTCTAGTAGAGATAGCTCCGTTAGCATTTCTAGTAGAAATAGCTCCGTTAGCATTTCTAGTAGCGATAGCTCCGTTAGCATTTCTAGTAGAGATAGCTCCGTTAGCAATTCTAGTAGCGATAGCTCCGTTAGCATTTCTAGTACAGATAGCTCCGTTAGCATTTCTAGTAGAGATAGTTCCGTTAGCATTTCTAGTAGCGATAGCTCCGTTAGCATTTCTAGTAGAAATAGCTCTGTTAGCATTTCTAGTAGTGATAGCTCCGTTAGCATTTCTAGTAGAGATAGCTTCGTTAGCATTTCTAGTAGTGATGGCTCCGTTAGCATTTCTAGTAGAGATAGCTCCGTTAGCATTTGTAGTAGCGATAGCTCCGTTAGCATTTCTAGTAGAGATAGCTCCGTTAGCATTTCTAGAAGAGATAGCTCCGTTAGCATTTCTAGTAGCGATAGCTCCGTTAGCATTTCTAGTAGAGGTAGCTCCGTTAGCATTTCTAGTAGTGATAGCTCCGTTAGCATTTCTAGTAGAGATAGCTCCGTTAGCATTTCTAGTAGCGATAGCTCCGTTAGCATTTCTAGTAGAGATGGCTCCGTTAGCATTTTTAGTAGCGATAGCTCCGTTAGCATTTCTAGTAGCGATAGCTCCGTTAGCATTTCTAGTAAAATAGCTCTGTTAGCATTTCTAGTAGAAATAGCTCCGTTAGCATTTCTAGTAGCGATAGCTCCGTTAGCATTTCTAGTAGAGATAGCTCCGTTAGCATTTCTAGTAGAGATAGCTCCGTTAGCATTTTTAGTAGCGATAGCTCCGTTAGCATTTCTAGTAGCGATAGCTCCGTTAGCATTTCTAGTAAAATAGCTCCGTTAGCATTTCTAGTAGATAGCTCCGTTAGCATTTCTAGTAGCGATAGCTCCGTTAGCATTTTTAGTAGCGATAGCTCCGTTAGCATTTCTAGTAGCGATAGCTCCATTAGCATTTCTAGTAGCGATAGCTCCGTTAGCATTTCTAGTAGAGATAGCTCCGTTAGCATTTCTAGTAGAGATAGCTCCGTTAGCATTTCTAGTAGAGATAGCTCCGTTAGCATTTCTAGTAGCGATAGCTCCGTTAGCATTTTTAGTAGCGATAGCTCCGTTAGCATTTTTAGTAGCGATAGCTCCGTTAGCATTTCTAGAGCTAACAGATAGCGATAGCTCCGTTTAGTAGCGATAGCTCCGTTAGCATTTCTAGTAGAGGTAGCTCCGTTAGCATTTTTAGTAGCAATAGCTTCGTTAGCATTTCTAGTAGCGATAGCTCCGTTAGCATTTCTAGTAGCAATAGCTCCGTTAGCATTTCTAGTAGAGATAGCTCCGTTAGCATTTCTAGTAGAGATGGCTCCGTTAGCATTTCTAGTAGAGATAGCTCCGTTAGCATTTTTAGTAGGGATAGCTCCGTTAGCATTTCTAGTAGTGATAGCTCCGTTAGCATTTCTAGTAGCAATAGCTCCGTTAGCATTTCTAGTAGAGATAGCTCCGTTAGCATTTCTAGTAGAGATAGCTCCGTTAGCATTTTGTAGTAGTGATAGCTTCGTATTTCTAGTAGCGATAGCTCCGTTAGCATTTTTAGTAGCGATAGCTCCGTTAGCATTTCTAGAAGCGATAGCTCCGTTAGCATTTCTAGAAGCGATAGCTCCGTTAGCATTTCTAGTAGCGATAGCTCCATCAGCATTTCTAGTAGCCATAGCTCCGTTAGCATTTTTAGTAGCAATAGCTCCGTTAGCATTTCTAGTAGAGATAGCTCAGTTAGCATTTTTAGTAGCGATAGCTCCGTCTTTCTAGTAGCGATAGCTACGTTAGCATTTCTAGAAGCGATAGCTCCATTAGCATTTCTAGTAGCGATAGCTCCGTTAGCATTTTTAGCAGCGATAGCTCCGTTAGCATAAAGTTGGCCTTGCTGTGATTGTACACAGAATGGACCTGATGATGTCATCAACCCAGAGGCGAACAAATCCCTCCCTGGTTGGAAAAATATATCAAAAGACGGTTTTGAAGTAATTATGAGTTCTGGCGAATGACAAACAGCAATCTGTTAGTTAATAGATACATTGCAACATGTTCAACTAGTCCTGGATCCTTTTAATGATTTTATATCTTTTCCTTATGAAGGTTAAAGCAGCAATATAAAACATTTAGATTTTGTTTCCTCTTTAACCCTTTAGTGACTAAAGAACAAAATCAAAGTTTTTAATATCAGGTCAGATTCACTTATTCACTCTGCAACTTTAACTCTTATTCGTCTTCAGGTCAAAGGAGAAGAAGATAAACAACAGCAAGTTTTACACCTGAGGACTCACCTGTCCCTCTGTCCACCTGTCCCTCCGTCCACCTCTCCCTCCGTCCACCTGTCCCTCCGTCCACCTGTCCCGATCTTCACGGTTTGATCTTTTCTCTTGTCGACTGAAGGGCAACAATCTGATGTTATTAATGGATAAATTGTATTTATTTAAGTCAAACCATTTCTGGGTCTGATATTTTAGCAGGTGTGGAAATGTTACAGGTGTCTCAGACAGGAAGTGTGGAATAATTCTGCTTCCTGCTCTTGTGATGGTATTTATTTCTTGCGGTTCAATCTGCTGATTTTTCTCCTTTAACACCTGAAATCAGAAGAATTTAAAGTGAATATGTGTTAAGCTGAAAGTTTGGATGTTAAATGATGCAGATTATGTTCCTGAAGCCATTTTCCTGTGTGACTTTATCTTCATAAATAATAAATAAATGTGTGCTCATTTCAACGATGTTCCCTATTTATTTCATTCTGCTCCAAATGCATTCTGGAAACTTTGGAGCTGAATCAGTTCAAACTGAAAATGTGATTTAGTTTTAATTCTAAATTAAGTTTGCATCTCAGCGATTCCTGCATCATCTGGATTATTTGGGGAGTTTTATGGATTATGTCCTGAAGTTTAGAAACATAATAAAGAGAATATTCAGCTGACGGAAACAAAATCAGCTTTTTCTTGAGTAAGGCCATCAGTTCCTCTTGTCAGAGGACAGGAGTCATGTGAGTCCTGGTCACTGTGAGAGCTGATACAGACCAGGCACGTGCAGAGGGGGTTAAAGGGGGCTTGAGCCCTGCCCCTTTTATCCTTGATGCCCCAGTGCCCTTTTTCAGTTTTTTTAAAATTTTTTCTCTGTGTGTCAGAAGGCCTGCTCGTGCTCCTCAGCTATAATATTTAGCTAAATAAAATAATTCATCAAAATAAAGTGGCCTGGCCCTCAGTCTGGTGATGACTCTCAGTTTCTGCCTCCAAGTTGTTCAGACTCTGGTCCATGGTGAGGAGGAAGATCTCAACTATCAAATTATGGCCAAGAATATTTGTTCATACATTGTGAATAAAAACGTGGGTCTGATGTTGACTTGGAAAAACTTTCTATTTATATTTCATAATTGTCCTGCAATAGCGGGAAAAAACCCACCTCGACTAAACACAGAAAAGCTTCAGCAACAGAGAAACTTCTGACTTTAATCGTTCTGCAAAAGCCCGGTTCTGCAGGCAGACTGGGTCAGAACCACTGACAGATAGAAACAATGTCTGATTTATGTCAGACATCCTGATGTGAGGCACGGTACCGATTGCACCCCGAGTCACAACTCACCCGGTACCACCGGGTTTCACCCAATACCACCCAATACCACCCGATACCACCCAATACCACCCGATACCACCTGATACCACCCGATACCACCTGGTACCACCTGATACCACCCAATACCACCCGTACCACCCAATACCACCTGGTACCACCTGATACCACCCGGTACCACCTGATACCACCCAATACCACCCGGTACCACCTGATACCACCCAATACCACCCGGTACCACCTGATACCACCCAATACCACCCGGTACCACCTGATACCACCCAATACCACCTGATACCACCTGATACCACCTGATATCACCCGGTACCACCCAATACCACCCGATACCACCTGGTACCACCCGATACCACCCAATACCACCCGATACCACCCGGTACCACCCAATACCACCCGATACCACCCGGTACCACCCAATACCACCTGATACCACCTGATATCACCCGGTACCACCCAATACCCAATACCACCCGGTACCACCCGATACCACCCGATACCACCCGATACCACCCGGTACCACCCAATAGCACCGGATACCACCCTGTACCACCCGATACCACCCAATACCACCCGGAACCACCCAATACCACCCGATACCACCCGGTACCACCCGATACCACCCGATACCACCCGATACCACCCAATACCACCCGGTACCACCCAATACCACCCGATACCACCCGGTACCACCCGATACCACCCAATACCACCCGATACCACCCGATACCACCCGATACCACCCGATACCACCTGGTACCACCCGATACCACCCGGTACCACCTGATACCACCCAATACCACCCGGTACCACCTGATACCACCCAATACCACCCGGTACCACCCAATACCACCCGATACCACCCAATACCACCTGGTACCACCCGATACCACCCAATACCACCCGGTACCACCCAATACCACCCGTACCACCCGATACCACCCGGTACCACCTACTGACTGCTGGCTCTGCTTCTCCTTAGCGTTTCTACCAGGCGGGTTAAAGCTGCTGCTGACTGGATCTGGGTTGGAGGTGAATGACTGTAAACAGAAGTTTCTGCAGAACCTCAAGTGTTAAAGGAAGACAAAGAGTTTATAAAATATAAATATCAATAAGGTGAGTCTGTGAGAAGGAGACCAGGTTTATTGACCAAGTTTAAAATCAATCACTGATTATTGGTTATTTGCTGTGATGTATTTGTGAACAAACCCAATTTAAACACAAAGATTACGCCATATTGTAGTCATGGTAACACAACAATCAAACTATCAAGATGATTTTTTGAACTTTTACAAAGTAAACTTCCTAATTCAATTCTGAATGAATTTTTTTTTCTCCGCTAATGCATTGAATAAAATTTTATGATATCGTTATTCTCTATAAAAGATGTTACAGGTTTAGATCTGTGTTACAATTAAACCATTTCTGGAGGCCCCTGAACATCTGGGACCCCTAAACATCTGGGGCCCCTGAACATCTGGGGCCCCTAAACATCTGGGGCCCCTGAACATTTGGGGCCCCTAAACATCTGGGGCCCCAGAATGTCTGGAGGCCCCTGAACATCTGGGGCCCCTGAATGTCTGGAGGCCCCTAAACATCTGGGGCCCCTAAACATCTGGGTCCCCATGTCTGGAGGCCCCTGAATGTCTGGAGGCCCCTGAACATCTGGGGCCCCTGAATGTCTGGAGGCCCCTGAACATCTGGGGCCCCTGAATGTCTGGAGGCCCCTAAACATCTGGGGCCCCTGAACATCTGGGGCCCCTAAACATCTGGGGCCCCAGAATGTCTGGAGGCCCTGAACATCTGGGGCCCCTGAATGTCTGGAGGCCCCTGAACATTTGGGGCCCCTGAATGTCTGGAGGCCCCTGAACATTTGGGGCCCCTAAACATCTGGGGCCCCTGAACATCTGGGGCACCTAAACATCTGGGGCCCCAGAATGTCTGGAGGCCCCTGAACATCTGGGGCCCCTGAATGTCTGGAGGCCCCTGAACATCTGGGGCCCCTAAACATCTGGGGCCCCTGAACATTTGGGGCCCCTAAACATCTGGGGCCCCAGAATGTCTGGAGGCCCCTGAACATCTGGGGCCCCTGAATGTCTGGAGGCCCCTGATTGGCCCTTACCAGGAGCTACTAAGTTCTCTTTGCCTCAATATCCCAATCTTACAATTCTAGATCTAAAGGTGCAAACATCAAACAAATTATATAGAGTTAAACGCTTTGAGTGTTTTTGGTCTATAAATCATCTGCAGCCAAATTGTTCTAGAGGTTAAATAGATATTATTAGGGCTTAAATGGTAAAATGGCTGCAAATGTTTTTATTTCATAACTTCATAACCTTTGACCTCTCTCCAGTCTGTTTAACATCTACATTCTCAGATCAAACGTAGCACCTGTTGGGGAAAATATGCTACATTTTCTTGCATGTACTACTATATCATTATAGTAGGATCCACTTAGATTCTTAATTAGGATCCACTTAGATTCTTAATTAGGATCCACTTAGATTCTTAATTAGGATCCAATTAGATTCTTAATTAGGATCCAATTAGATTCTTAATTAGGATCTAATTAGATTTTTAATTAGGATCCACTTAGATTCTTAATTAGGATCTAATTAGATTTTTAATTAGGATCCAATTAGATTCTGGATTATTACGTTGCTGTTGCTGTGTTGTTGTTCGGTGTTTAAGATTTTGTTCACTGTGGCTTTTTTTAACTTTGAGCCCCTGCCCCTCCAAATGTTTCTGCCCGGCCCTGATACAGACGATCAATATTCAAACATCAACATTATCTCCAGCATTACAACAGAAATGATTTAGCGTTAAAATGTGAAACCAGGTTAGACACCAGAGGGCGCTGTTGAGTCAGCCTTAGTGTGTGTGTGTGTGTGTATGTGTGTGTGTGTGTGTGTGTGTATGTGTGTGTGTGTGTGTGTGTGTGTGTGTGTGTGTGTGTGTGTGTGTGTGTGTGTGTGTGTGTGTGTTATTGTCCTGATATTAATGAGTTACCAGGTGAGAGGCTCCTGGGAGCCATATGGGAGGCGGTGCTGGGAGAGAGAAGCAGATAGGAGGGAGGTGACGAAACACTTGTGTGTGTGTGTGTGTCTGTGTGTGTGTGTGTCTGTGTGTGTAGGAGGAGGAAGTGTGTTCTTGCCTCTGTTAGTGCCCAGTAGCAGCAGGAGAATGCTGTGCTGCTTCTTGTTCTCTGGTTTAAAACAGACCTAATTCTGCAGCTCCTGATCTGAACAGTGTGGAGTGCTGCTGTTTTTCTGAGGCAAATCTCCAGAAGAAAATAACATGGTGGACTTCCCCTCCAAGGTAACCACGGAGACCAGCTCCCCACAGCCCCAGCAGGGGGCCGGCAGGCTGCGGGGGCTGGTCTCCGATGCCACGTCCAGGATGGACATGTCGTTCCTGCGCAGTGTCCCGGCGGCATTGATGGCGGCTGAAACGGTAAGAACGGCTCTGACCCGGTTCCTACAGACTGAACCACCATCAGTGTCTGAACCAGAGATAATCCATGTAAACAGACGACGTTTCACCTGAAAGAAGCAGAGAAACACACAGAACGTTCATTATAACAGTTTTAGCTACTTTAGCTCCAGAACCATGATGGCACCTGGCAGCTGAATGGCAGAAAAGACAAAGTGAGAGAACAGCAAATATCAACCTCATCTTCCTCTGAGGTGTAGATCTAATTTTCCTCTTGATTTTTCTTCAAAATGGGAAAGACAAGAGAAGCTGGATTACTTCAAGACCTGAACAGGAAGTCATTTCCATTTATTTGAAATTTCAAAGTAAAGTACCGATTATACAATCAAGTTCTGGTGTCCAGCATCCTAGTGATGGTTTCCAGTCCAGTTCTGGAACAACTGGGAGCTTTCTGTGGTTCTGCAGCAGCACATCCTACAGACTATGGAGTGTTCTGGATTGTCAACATCACTCTGCTAGCATCACTTTGTTAGCATGAATGAAGCCGGAGTGAAGCCGGAGAGAAACCGGAGAGAAACCGGAGTGAAACCGGAGCGTTCCTGCTGGTTGCTGTTCTCTGCATCATTCCAGCTCTGAATGTTACAGAGGAAGATCTGCAACAGATTCACAGAGAATTCATCACCAGACCAAAAATTGAAATGGTTTCATAAATTCATTCTGGTTCTGATGGTTCTGGTTCTGGTCTGCTGGCCATCTCCTTCTGCAGCCTCTCTTCCTCTGCGCTGCAGGTATTGGGCCTGCTGCACTGGGCTCTGATTGCCGGCGCCCCTACTGGCTGCACCACGCCTACGGCTGGGTGATGTTTGTGGCCGTCTCTCTGTGGATCCTCACCACCCTCCTCTTCCTCGTCCTGCTCTTCAGCGTCCCCCAGAGGCTCTCCGCTGTTCCTGGACCATGACGGTAGGTGGAGCGGCTCATTTCTGGGCCTTGCTGAGGTCCGGTGGTATGGTACCGATACAGTGAGGTAAAGAAGGTGAAGTAGAGAAGATTCTTGGTTAGCAGAACCTGACCCGGTTTGGTGTCGTTTGCAGGTGATGATGTATAACGAGTGGCCGCCCTGCTCTACCTCACCGCCTCCTGACCAACGCCGCCGGTCCGGAGGTTCAACGCGTCCTTCACGGACACATCGGTGCAGCCGCTGTAAGTTCTCCATTATTCCTCTGAAAGGCCCCACAGCATGATGCTGCCGCCACCATGCCGGAAAGCCTCACTCCTCCAGGCAGGCACCTTGTGGATGTGTCTCATCTGATCATGAAGAAGACGCCTGAAGGCCTGCAGGAGGCCGCTGAGTTTCACTCTAAAGGCTCCAGAACCCAAATAGTTTGTGAAATGAATCTTCCTCCTGTGGAAGCTGGAGAAAGTTTCCCGTTAGACCGAAACCCCAAAGCCTGGAGCAGAGACTACCCACCAAACAGGTCCAGGCTTTGGTTCTGAACCTCTCTGGACGGATCCAGTACATCTGGACCGGGTTGGACGGATCCAGTACATCTGGACGGTCTGGACCGGGTTTGGACCGGATCCAGTACATCTGGACCGGGTTTGGACCGGATCCAGTACATCTGGACGGGTTTGGACCGGATCCAGTAATCTGGACGGGTTGGACCGGATCCAGTACATCTGGACCGGGTCTGGACCGGGTTGGAAAGGATCCAGTACATCGGACGGGTCTGGACGGATCCAGTACATCTGGACCGGGAGGATTTAAAGTCTGACATGGAAAAGTACAGATCAGGAGTTTTACAGCCGCATGACGCCACCACACCCACAGATCACCTGATCAGCTTTTACTGGGTCGACTGGTTAGCGACAATGCATCACGAGTTTCAGATTAAAGGTGTGAAAACTTTAACCTTTGACCCTGTGCAGCAGGAAACCAGGGATCTGATCAGAAAATGATTCATGAAGTCAATACTTAACAAGATTTCACTGAACTCCACCTTCAAATGGCTTCTTCTCAGATGATGGTCAGGTGAGCAAGAGACAGCAGCCAACAGGTTGAGGTCAGAGGTCAACAGCATGGAGGCTTGCATCAACAGGGACTGGAGAACCAACCAGCTGTTGATTGGTTGCTTCTGCAGGTGGGAACCATCAGGGTTCCTGCTGTGCAGCTAGCAGGTGTAACCCTAACCCTGCACAGCTGTTCAGGGAACGGCTGTTCAGGGAACGGCTGTTCAGGGAACGGCTGTTCCTGCAGCCCTGACTGCGACCGTCTGCAGATGTTTCTCCTCTCCCTGCAGTTCTTCGGAGCGGTGCTGACGCTGCTGTACGGCGCTGGAACTTTCCTGTCCTACCTGGACTGGAGGGCCGACGGAGGAAACGCCGCCACCAGCACCGTGCCCACCTAAGACCACCAGAACCAGGACCACCAGAACCAAGCCTCCACATTGACCCAATCATCATCTAAGCTCAGCAAACCAATTAAAGGAAAGAAAGTCGGCAGCTTGATGATAAAAGTCTAAATTATTTAGATCAAAGTGTTTTTGTTTTCCTTCATTTTAAATGAAAATGTTTGTTTACATAGAAGGATCTGATCCAGATGTGATCCAGATCTGATCCAGATGTGATCCAGGATCTGATCCAGATGTGATCCAGGATCTGATCCAGATGTTCATGTTTTCATTTATGTTTTCACTGTAATCAGATTTTTAAAGCTCATTTTATGAAATATATTTACAATAAAGGACTTTCAGTGAATTTCATTGAAAAATTCATTTTAGGAATCTGACAATCAAAGACAATTTATTCACAAACATTAAAATCATTATGACGACCTTCAGTGAAGGAAGAGAAAATTATTCAGTTTCATTAAATTCAGACGAAACAAGAACTTAGATTAAACACAGTTCATCCATTCATCCATCCATTCATCCATTCATCACTCAGGGAGTTCTTGTCTTGAATCAGGTCAGAGTTTCTGTCAGGCGGGTCCAGTATGAGGGCTGAGGTGGTTCTGGTGGTTCTACTGGTGTCCAGCAGAAGCTGCCGGGTTTAGGGAAGTCACCAGCAGATCCTGACTTGGGTCCAAACCTCGACCCTCTTTCGCCTGAAAACACAGGACAACAACCAGAGGTCAACCAGAGGTCAACCAAGGTCAACCAGAGCGTCCGCAGTGTCCGATCTGCTCAAATTGTGCCGCTCCACTCACTGCTCGGTACTCGACCAACATTTCCTTGAAGGCCATGAAGTCGATGAAAGTGAGCAGCATGTCAAACATCTCGTCTGGGACTTCTTCTTTGTGCTGCCTGCAGAAGACAGGAGAAAGCGTCAGTCTGCCACCTGGTGGCCAGGAAACAGAAGCACAATTTGAGTTTCTGAGCCATAAACACAGCAGCAGGTTAGAACGAAACGTCTGTAAATATAAATGGAAACTTGAATAGGCTCCATGTGAGCTCTGATGGTTTGGCAGCTCTGAGCTTCCGTAGCTCACATCAGCAGTTGTGTGAAACTGGCCATGTTGAATCCAGGGATCTTCTTCATCAGACATTCCTCCAGAGGTTTCTCCAGCAGCTCCACCTGCAGAGCAACGGGCCAATCAGAGAGCTGATGCTGCCAGCAACGGGCCAATCAGAGGGCTGATGCTGCCAGCAACGGGCCAATCAGAGGGCTGATGCTGCCAGCAACGGGCCAATCAGAGGGCTGATGCTGCCAGCAACGGGCCAATCAGAGGGCTGATGCTGCCAGCAACGGGCCAATCAGAGGCCTGATGCTGCCAGCAACGGGCCAATCAGAGGCCTGATGCTGCCAGCAACGGGCCAATCAGAGGCCTTATGCTGCCAGCAACGGGCCAATCAGAGGCCTGATGCTGCCAGCAACGGGCCAATCAGAGGCCTGATGCTGCCACTCACGTATTCGTTGAAGATCAGCGTGTAGCTCAGCTTGTTCTCATCAGACTCTTCGAACTCCAGGTAGTGCCGATCCAAGAAGCTGCGCTGGACCAGTTGGAAGTCCTCCTCTGTAGGAAACACAAACCAGTGGCTCTAACTGGAGCGCTGGGTGTACTGGTTGCATCTGCAGGTTGAACTCAGTTACCCATGATGATCTCCAGGATGCAACCGATCACCACGTCGAAAGCCGCCTCTTCTGGCGAGGAGCTGCATGGAGGACAGACATCCAGGTTCACAGACAGGAAGTGATGTCATTACACATCGTCACCACTCTGACCGGATTCTGGTGGCACCAGCGACCACATCTGGACCAGGTTCGTTTTAGTGGACTTAAAATGTTATAATCATAAATCATCAAATGAACACATATGAATCATCTCTAGAGTCTCATTTGGGCTCTGAATGAATCGGAACCATTTGGACCGAAGCGAACAAAGAGCCTGGTTCTGTTTACAGACCGAACTCCGCTGGTTCTGTTCGGGAAACCAGCTGACCCACCATGACGGAGCGAACAGTTTCCTCCTCCATCCGAACCGGTCCAGCTGGAGACAAGAGAACAGTTCAGTTAAAAGATCCGGTTCCGCCGATACAGTTCAGTCTAAACGTGTCGCTCATGTTCCGGTTCTGATGAATTCCAGTTTACTTACTTCCTGAACAAATCTGTCTGTGGGCCGTTTGGGATCAACAAGCAAATCTCGTTGTCAAGGAAACGGCGGTATTATGTGGGTCTGTAAATACCTTCCGACGGAACAAGACCCGAATCGTTTGGTTCCGAAGTACAGACGAAGCTGGAAAGTTCGGCCTGCCGAACTTTAAAATAGGAAATTAAATAGGAAATAGGAAATCATGAACGAGTCCAACTGTTGGTTGTTTACACAGAACCGACTCACCTGGCGGCGACATTCTGCCCCCTTGTGACGGGAGCGCGAACTGCAGCCAGAGAGGATCCGTTCAGTTCATCTGATCCGTTTCTGTGAACTCAAATAATCGACCGTCAGCAGCACAACACAATTCTACAATAATAAATAAACCACAACCCTCATAATATCCATGTTCTGTTTCTGATAATGAAACGATAATGAAACGATCATTCTCATTGAATCTGAACTGCAATTATCTAGTGAGAACAGAAAAGGAGGCGTGGCTTCAATATTTAAGAAAATCATAAACTGTAGTAAAATTTCTTCAGCTCATTTCACATCTTTTGCGTATCTGAGAATTGAGATTAAAGGCCACAAATGAACTTTGACACTAACTTTATACAAAACTCCAACATATGTGGAAATTTTCTTTACTGACTTGAATGATCTTCTGTCTCTCATATGTATTGATTATGATTGATTAATAATTGTTGGTGATTTCAACATTCATGTGGACAAACCCCAAGACAGAGGAGCAAAAAAGCTTTTAATGTTTTAGAAAATGTTGGTTTAACACAACATGTCACACAAGCAACACACACTCCAGGACACACACTGGACCTGGTTATCAGTCAGACTGGGAATATTTCCAGTGCCTCTGTAACTGATGTTGGATCACTTCCTGTTATCTTTCATCACTTCCTGTTATCTTTCATCACTTCCTGTTCTCTTTGGAAGTCCTTTATCCTTTAACCCAGTTGGACAAACGGCTACTGTCACAAAACCTTCTTCCACAGAAAACGCAGCAGAAACATTTCACCTCATCTGCTCTTCGTCCTGAAGCTGTAATGATGTGGATCAGTTGGTCGATGATTTTCAGTCTAAGTTTCAGTTTTCACAGCCTGATGAGAGCAAAGAGTTTCTATTTGGACCAGATCAGCAGCAGAGACACGCAGGACTTGCTTCAATGTTCTAGATCTAGATCTATAGATGTAGAGTCAGTGCACAGCTTCAGTTATTCCAACTAAAACCAGCGATCAGACTGAAACTTGGGAGGAGTGATGACCCCTGACCTCTGACCCCCAGAGCCACATAAAGACAGTCACAAAGTCGGGCTTCTGTCACCTGCAGAGCGTCTGGAGGTCTGGCGTCTCAGAGAGAAACTGGTTCATCTTCAGTGGCATCGATTCCTTTACAGGTCTGTCCAACACATCAATCCTGCAGCTGCTGCTGGAGTTCTGACCAGAACCAGAACCAGGAGGCTGGAGCACATGGACCCGGCTGGTTCTACAGTCCCTCACTGGTTAGTTCTAAATCACTGAGCAACACATTAAAGATCTGCTGTCATCATAGCAACCTGCCAGACCATCAGGTTCTGGTTCTGCATCACAAGAACCAAACGAGAAGCAGCGTTCAGCTTCTAAGCACCACAAATCTGGAACGAACTTCCAGAAACTGCAAAACCCGAGATCCAATCAATAATCAATTTATCGACGGCTCTCAACTTAATGTCATGTTTGATTGTTGATTCTATGCTGCATGAATCAGTTTCTGTTTTTATGATTAAAAGCTCTTTGAAATGTGCTACGCAGATCAATTTGATTGATTGATGAAAGGAGCCCAGACCCAGATCTGAGCAGAACCCGGAGGTTCTGTTGTTTTGGCCCGGATTCAAACTCTTAGCATCTCTTGAGGATCTGAGTTTTGTGAAGCTGAAAACCAGAACCAGCAGAAATAATAAAGTCATGCCAGATAAATGTATTCAGCCCTGGACGTGTTGAAGGTCACTTGGTCCTGGTTCTGGTTCTGGTTCTGGCTGATGCGACCCGATGCTGGAAAACCAGAGTCAGTCAGACAGAGAGCACATTAACATACATTTATTACAAATATCACAAATCAAGAAACAACAATTTCTTAATAAATCACATCTTTGGGAATCCGTATCATAATTCCTTTATAAACATTTTAAATATAAGTCACAAATGAATCTTTACAATCCTGAACTTGGTTTCCAACCAGCCAGATTCTTCTGCTCCACCTTAAGGTGCCGACTTGTCGTCTTCTTCCAGGCTTTGTTTGACCGTTAAATGATTCGCTGTTTGATTTCAAAACCTACCGAAGCGTTTTGTTTGGTTGTACAAACAACGTTTCCTGAAAGACATTCTGTTTGTGAAAGCCAGCCCCGTGAACCCAGGGACGGCGCCGGGGCCTCCTGTCCCTCGGGGCCTCCTGTCCCTCGGGGCCTCCTGTCCCTCGGGGCCTCCTGTCCCTCGGGGCCTCCTGTCCCTCGGGGCCTCCTGTCCCTCGGGGCCTCCTGTCCTCGGGCCTCCTGTCCCTCGGGCCTCCTGTCCCTCGGGCCTCCTGTCCTCGGGCCTCCTGTCCCTCGGTTTGGGAAACAAGGTGACTTGATGAAGCTCCTGACATGTTTCGCTTCCTATTAGTTGCTTCAGTTGAATCTTGAGGTGTTCTCAGTTTCCTTTCCTGGCTGCAGGACAAACTGAATTTGGAATATAAATGATAATCTTATAATTCATCAGCGGCAGAAAAAGGCATAAAGCCAAAGAAAGAGTTTTTGGGCCATTCATAAAGACAGAAGCCATGGAGGAAATATGAAATGCTACCTTTAGAGTACAATAATTAGCATATTGATGGAATCAACATGCCTGTACCTCAGACTGCGGCCTGCAGAAACACAAGCAGACGCTCTGCAGGCCGAATGCAGCGTCTGCAGCTGCAGGAGGGATCCTCAGGTCTCTCCTCAACAAGACGCTGGTTCTGTCAGGATCCGGTCCAGATCAGAACACCGAGAGGAGACTCCTCCCCTGCTCTTCCTCAGGGAAACACGACGTCATCTTCATCAGGACAGAGGAAGAGGAGCAGGAGGAGGAAGAGCGTGAAGTTGGTCAGGAGACGTGAGCGATGAGTCTGACTCGGGTCTGGATGTCCTGGCGGCACAGCGGACACGTCTCCAGCTGTAAGGCACAGTCCATGCACATCCCGCTGCCGGGAGGGAGAGCGTCAGTGATGCAGCAGACGCCGCAGACGATGCAGTTCGCCAGCACCCGCCTGCAGTCTTACCCGTGTCCACAGGGACGCAGCTCCGTGTCCGCCATGACGTCGCAGCACAGCGTGCAGCAGTTGTCCCTGATGCTGAGCTGCTTCAGTAAGGCCAGACGCCGATGTCTGAGGAACAAAACGACCGATCATCACCGTTCCATGACAACAGCAGACTAACGCAAGCGTTATTAGTCAAGGGGCCACAGGAAGGGGCCACAGGAAGGGGTCAGAGGAAGGGGCCACAGAAAGGGGCCACAGGAAGGGGCCACAGGAAGGGGCCACAGGAAGGGGTCACAGGAAGGGGCCACAGGAAGGGGCCAGAGGAAGGGGCCACAGGAAGGGGTCACAGGAAGGGGTCACAGGAAGGGGTCAGAGGAAGGGGCCACAGGAAGGGGCCAGAGGAAGGGGCCACAGGAAGGGGTCACAGGAAGGGGCCAGAGGAAGGGGCCACAGGAAGGGGTCACAGGAAGGGGTCACAGGAAGGGGTCAGAGGAAGGGGCCACAGGAAGGGGCCAGAGGAAGGGGCCACAGGAAGGGGTCACAGGAAGGGGCCAGAGGAAGGGGCCACAGGAAGGGGTCACAGGAAGGGGTCACAGGAAGGGGTCACAGGAAGGGGCCACAGGAAGGGGCCACAGGAAGGGGCCACAGGAAGGGGTCAGAGGAAGGGGTCACAGGAAGGGGCCACAGGAAGGGGTCACAGGAAGGGGGGAGAGGAAGGGGTCACAGGAAGGGGCCACAGGAAGGGGCCACAGGAAGGGGTCAGAGGAAGGGGTCACAGGAAGGGGTCACAGGAAGGTGCCACAGGAAGGGGCCACAGGAAGGGGCCACAGGAAGGGGTCACAGGAAGGGGTCAGAGGAAGGGGTCACAGGAAGGGGCCAGAGGAAGGGGTCACAGGAATGAGAGGAAGGGGTCAGAGGAAGGGGCCACAGGAAGGGGCCACAGGAAGGGGTCACAGGAAGGGGTCAGAGGAAGGGGTCAGAGGAAGGGGCCACAGGAAGGGGTCACAGGAAGGGGTCAGAGGAAGGGGCCACAGGAAGGGGTCAGAGGAAGGGGCCACAGGAAGGGGTCACAGGAAGGGGTCACAGGAAGGGGTGAGAGGAAGGGGTCAGAGGAAGGGGCCACAGGAAGGGGCCACAGGAAGGGGTCACAGGAAGGGGTCAGAGGAAGGGGTCAGAGGAAGGGGCCACAGGAAGGGGTCACAGGAAGGGGTCAGAGGAAGGGGCCACAGGAAGGGGTCAGAGGAAGGGGCCACAGGAAGGGGTCACAGGAAGGGGTCACAGGAAGGGGTCAGAGGAAGGGGTCAGAGGAAGGGGCCACAGGAAGGGGCCACAGGAAGGGGTCACAGGAAGGGGTCAGAGGAAGGGGTCAGAGGAAGGGGCCACAGGAAGGGGTCACAGGAAGGGGTCAGAGGAAGGGGCCACAGGAAGGGGTCAGAGGAAGGGGCCACAGGAAGGGGTCACAGGAAGGGGTCACAGGAAGGGGTGAGAGGAAGGGGCCACAGGAAGGGGTCACAGGAAGGGGTCACAGGAAGGGGCCACAGGAAGGGGTCACAGGAAGGGGTGAGAGGAAGGGGTCAGAGGAAGGGGCCACAGGAAGGGGCCACAGGAAGGGGTCACAGGAAGGGGCCACAGGAAGGGGTCACAGGAAGGGGTCACAGGAAGGGGCCACAGGAAGGGGTCACAGGAAGGGGTCAGAGGAAGGGGTCAGAGGAAGGGGCCACAGGAAGGGGTCAGAGGAAGGGGCCACAGGAAGGGGTCACAGGAAGGGGTCACAGGAAGGGGTCACAGGAAGGGGTCAGAGGAAGGGGCCACAGGAAGGGGTCACAGGAAGGGGTCACAGGAAGGGGCCACAGGAAGGGGTCACAGGAAGGGTGAGAGGAAGGGGTCAGAGGAAGGGGCCACAGGAAGGGGCCACAGGAAGGGGTCACAGGAAGGGGTCAGAGGAAGGGGTCAGAGGAAGGGGCCACAGGAAGGGGTCACAGGAAGGGGTCAGAGGAAGGGGCCACAGGAAGGGGTCAGAGGAAGGGGTCAGAGGAAGGGGTCAGAGGAAGGGGCCACAGGAAGGGGCCACAGGAAGGGGCCAGAGGAAGGGGCCACAGGAAGGGGCCACAGGAAGGGGTCAGAGGAAGGGGCCACAGGAAGGGGTCACAGGAAGGGGCCACAGGAAGGGCCACAGGAAGGGGTCACAGGAAGGGGTCACAGGAAGGGGTCACAGGAAGGGGCCACAGGAAGGGGCCACAGGAAGGGGCCACAGGAAGGGGCCACAGGAAGGGGCCACAGGAAGGGGTCAGAGGAAGGGGTCACAGGAAGGGGCCACAGGAAGGGGTCACAGGAAGGGGTCAGAGGAAGGGGCCACAGGAAGGGGCCACAGGAAGGGGTCACAGGAAGGGGTCAGAGGATGGGGCCACAGGAAGGGGCCACAGGAAGGGGTCACAGGAAGGGGTCACAGGAAGGGGCCACAGGAAGGGGTCACAGGAAGGGGTCAGAGGAAGGGGTCAGAGGAAGGGGCCACAGGAAGGGGTCACAGGAAGGGGTCAGAGGATGGGGCCACAGGAAGGGGCCACAGGAAGGGGTCACAGGAAGGGGCCACAGGAAGGGGTCACAGGAAGGGGTCAGAGGATGGGGCCACAGGAAGGGGCCACAGGAAGGGGTCACAGGAAGGGGCCACAGGAAGGGGTCACAGGAAGGGGTCAGAGGAAGGTGTCAGAGGAAGGGGCCACAGGAAGGGGTCAGAGGAAGGGGTCACAGGAAGGGGTCACAGGAAGGGGTCAGAGGAAGGGGTCAGAGGAAGGGGCCACAGGAAGGGGTCAGAGGAAGGGGCCACAGGAAGGGTCAGAGGAAGGGGCCACAGGAAGGGGTCACAGGAAGGGGTCACAGGAAGGGGTCAGAGGAAGGGGTCAGAGGAAGGGGCCACAGGAAGGGGCCACAGGAAGGGGTCACAGGAAGGGGTCAGAGGAAGGGGTCAGAGGAAGGGGCCACAGGAAGGGGTCAGAGGAAGGGGCCACAGGAAGGGGTCACAGGAAGGGGTCACAGGAAGGGGTGAGAGGAAGGGGTCAGAGGAAGGGGCCACAGGAAGGGGCCACAGGAAGGGGTCACAGGAAGGGGTCAGAGGAAGGGGCCACAGGAAGGGGTCACAGGAAGGGGTCAGAGGAAGGGGCCACAGGAAGGGGTCAGAGGAAGGGGCCACAGGAAGGGGTCACAGGAAGGGGTGAGAGGAAGGGGCCACAAGAAGGTGTCACAGGAAGGGGTCACAGGAAGGGGCCAGAGGAAGGGGTCACAGGAGGGGGTCAGAGGAAGGGGACAGAGGAAGGGGCTACAGGAAGGGGCCACAGGAAGGGGTCACAGGAAGGGGCCACAGGAAGGGGTCACAGGAAGGGGTCACAGGAAGGGGCCACAGGAAGGGGTCACAGGAAGGGGTCAGAGGAAGGGGTCAGAGGAAGGGGCCACAGGAAGGGGTCACAGGAAGGGGTCAGAGGAAGGGGCCACAGGAAGGGTCAGAGGAAGGGGTCACAGGAAGGGGTCACAGGAAGGGGTCACAGGAAGGGGTAACAGGAAGGGGTCAGAGGAAGGGGTCACAGGAAGGGGTCACAGGAAGGTGCCACAGGAAGGGCCACAGGAAGGGGCCACAGGAAGGGGTCACAGGAAGGGGTCAGAGGAAGGGGTCACAGGAAGGGGCCAGAGGAAGGGGTCACAGGAAGGGGTGAGAGGAAGGGGTCAGAGGAAGGGGCCACAGGAAGGGGTCACAGGAAGGGGTCAGAGGAAGGGGTCAGAGGAAGGGGCCACAGGAAGGGGTCACAGGAAGGGGTCAGAGGAAGGGGCCACAGGAAGGGGTCACAGGAAGGGGTCACAGGAAGGGGTGAGAGGAAGGGGTCAGAGGAAGGGGCCACAGGAAGGGGCCACAGGAAGGGGTCACAGGAAGGGGTCAGAGGAAGGGGTCAGAGGAAGGGGCCACAGGAAGGGGTCACAGGAAGGGGTCAGAGGAAGGGGCCACAGGAAGGGGTCAGAGGAAGGGGCCACAGGAAGGGGTCACAGGAAGGGTGAGAGGAAGGGGCCACAAGAAGGGGTCACAGGAAGGGGTCACAGGAAGGGGCCACAGGAAGGGGTCACAGGAAGGGGTCAGAGGAAGGGGTCAGAGGAAGGGGCCACAGGAAGGGGCCACAGGAAGGGGTCACAGGAAGGGGCCACAGGAAGGGGTCACAGGAAGGGGTCACAGGAAGGGGCCACAGGAAGGGGTCACAGGAAGGGGTCAGAGGAAGGGGTCAGAGGAAGGGGCCACAGGAAGGGGTCAGAGGAAGGGGCCACAGGAAGGGGTCACAGGAAGGGTCACAGGAAGGGGTCACAGGAAGGGGTCAGAGGAAGGGGCCACA